ATTAATGCATATTATACATACGGGATGGTCCACCGTAGAGAAAGAGAATAAAAACAACGAGCCTTTTTATCTACGGATTTTTTCAAAGCCACGTTTTTTCGAGCTGACTTTTCTTTCTTTTTTTCGAGACCAAGGTGAATTTTCTTGTTGAATAAAGAGTCATATTTAATTCAGAATCAAGATTATTAACTTTTTCGTCGATCCTCTTTAATAGTAAATTAAAATTTTATTTCGAAATATCGATCACAAAAAACACAATTTCAAACATGCAAACGAGTAGTTAATCATATCTTTTTAACTAGTTCCAAGTTGATCGGAAACTGCACACAGCAAAAACGGTTCCTTTATATACTGAAGAGAAAACTACATGTGTACTAATTTTCGGGGATGATAAATAAAAGATATCCCATCATGGAAAATAAAAACAACGAGCTTTTTTATCTACGGATTTTTTTTCGAGCCGGCTTTTCCTTGGCAGGGAACGTCAAGAGACTGCGAGAGAGAAACTGGTATCTTCGATTGAGAATAACATTTTTCTTTCGAGAACAAGGTGAATTTTCTTGTTGAATAAAGGGCATATTTGATTCAGAAACAAGATTAAAATAATTTCAAAATATCGGTCACAACTTCAAAAATGCAAACAAGTAATTAAATCATATCTTTTTAACTAGCTCCAAGTTAATCAGAAATTGCACACAAAAGATGACTCTTTATATATTGAAGAGAAGACTACCAATTTTCGTGGACGACAGATATAAAAGATATTCCAATAATTAAGAATAGCTTAATCTACATTGTTTCAGAACTGCTTTTTTCTAATTAATAAGTGTCCATTTTTCTTTTTTCTCTAGAAAAAAAATACAAAAGAAAACATCATGTACTCGTATTATTACACTGCAAAAATCTCACAAGAAAGAAAGTAGAATGGCAGTAGAGTTTATGCAACAACACGACATAGTCCTGTCGAGTCGGCGCTTAAGCAAATATTGCTTGTGTTTGAAGCGTGTAATTCAAGCGACAATACGATCCCATCGTAGCGAATGCACGTAACTAGAAGCTTTTCCTCGGTACGTTCTTTTGTCAAGATCATTGTCGTTCAGAAAAGAGAGAGAGACGCGCGCGTGCTGCTTTCTACAGATAACGTCGGATGTCTGCAGATAATCCCGTGTTGAATGCCCCCGTCATTCGACGGATGGAAGAGCATGAAAAGTATATTCTAGCCCCCTTAAAGATTTTCTTCCCTCCGTGTGAGAGCGTGTTTCGAGTACTTTTGTTACATCATATTTATCCTCGCTAGATCGCCAGAAATATATCGCTTTATGCTTTTATCATTATTCATGCTTTTCGAGGAGAAAAAACATAATAAAATATAAGATGTATGTCAAGATTGCATTTTTCTAGCAACTTGATAGCAACAAATATAATATGTTCGCTCGAGTGATAATTTATTTTAACACAACAATTAATAACAGCGAGAAAACACACACGATGCCACACATTATCGTAATGTAAAAAAACGATAAAAAACGATTCTAATAAAAATGCAAACTTCGTTGCCATCTCTTTTTGTCGGAAGTCTTGTAGCATGCATAGTCACGCGATAATTACACGCGGTTTTCAGACACAGAGGCGATAACAGACGACGAATTATATACAAAGCAATATATTCTCCAGAAAACATATTTTCGTTATTACAGCTAATTATAAATTTAGATACAATTATAAATTTATGTATGAAAAAATAATAATTGATAAATAATTATCGTATATATTTACTCATTCTCGAATATACATCGCAGAAATTTAGTCTCTACGATAACATATTATAATAAAGTTTTCTTTACGTTGACGAGTTGAATTGCAAAAACGTCGTAAGAATAGCAAATAAGGTTTTTGAAACGCCGTAAATCTGTTAGTAATATGTTTAAAAACGAAAACTTTTGAGATGCTGCACGAGTTATTTTGGATATGCAGAAGAACGTTTCATCAAATGAAATATAACTATTAAATTTTATAATTTTTTGAAATTAATTTTACTAAAATTTGCTACAATTAATTTCTTGTGTGCATGTTTGTGTAAATATCTTATTTTTACATTTATCAAATATATATTTACAACGGAAGATGAGGTCACTTCCCTACTTTCAAGGTGCGTAAGTGTATTAACTGTATTATATTCTCCTATCAATTTATCAGGAAGTGGAGAGTCATTTACAGCGTTAATAGGGCAACCAGACTTTCATAAAGCACATCATTGAAGTTTCCAAACTTCAGCAACTAACATTATTCCACTAGGAATAGTAATTTCTAAAATCAAGACAGGCACAAATGCAAGAGCTAAGCTTAGATTCATGATTTATTTCTTCGAAAAAACAAGATTTAAGTAGAAATATTATATTCAATCTATCTGATTTTATAGGAAAACGTGTGTATAAAATTTTTATTTAATAGTAAGTAATAAAAAATTCTATCATAATTTATTATATTGCAGTTTTGAAGTAAATATAACACATATATGATAAATGTTGTAAACATAATAATAAACGACAGTGCTTTATGTTCTTAGTGTGCGTAATCTATTTGAACATTTTCTTTATTGCAGATATAAAATAATAAGTGATAATAATTGTCATACACATGTATATTTTATTATGTATTGTTTCAGAACTTCTAAAAATATAATTTCGTCACGATTTCTTTTATCAAGATAAAAAATGTTTCGCACCAAGTCGCAAACAGCGAGATATTTATTTTTACTAATTTTGTAAAATATCGATCTGAAAGATAGAGACAGAATAAGAAATAGAAAGAAAGGGAAAATTTATTGCATTACTTTTCGTATCATACACTTTCGAAATTTATAAAAATTATGAAATATTAAATATATATTCAAACTTATGGTGCCATTTCTTTTTATGTCTTGTAGAATGCATAGTCACGCGTTTAATTACACGCATTTTTCAGATGCAGAGAGACGATGACGGACAACAACATGATGACAAATCCATTTTTGCGATCGCATACACGTAAAACGTATATGCGCGTAGACAGTGACAGATGCACAGCTGACTGAGAGATCGTATCTATATATCGCGGTCTTTGATTTTCCGCAGCTGCCGAATCGCTCCGCGAAATCTCAATTTTTGTGCGAAGGCAAAAGTGAAAGAGGGTAAAATCACCATGTCAAAGGCAAGCATATTCGCTCTAGCACGGGACCGAGTGATTTATATTGAAATAACACCGTCAGGTAAACGAATAGATTGACGGATAAGCCGACGTGCGAGTGTGCGTTTGGTACACGCATGTCTATGTTTTTATATCGGCCAGGATGTGTGTACGATAAAGGATATATATATATATCTTCCCGCGAAAGAGTGGCTTGGCAATGTTCGAGCCGGAATAGCTCGAGAATTGCCTTGAAAGGATCATCCTTATTTGGAAGTTGGATGAAAATCTCTGTTTTCTTCAAGACGTTCCTCAGAACGTATCGCCGATCGGAAGATGACCCGAGGTCTTAGAGTTGGCATTGATAAGCCGCAATCGAGCGGGGCGGAAAACGGATTTAAAGTGGATCCAAAGTGACATTTAAAGATACGGCTCGATTTATTTCGGAGAAAATAAATCGACTCGGTACCATCGAAAATCAGCTTAGCGAAGATAAAATATACGCGCGTACCAAATACGAAATAGCTCAAAGTTTCATCCGCGTAATTTTCGGATGAGTATGAACGATTGAACTGAGTTTTAATCATAAAATTTTAATTGAAACGTGATCTGTCTCTCTTTGCGAATCGTTTTAAAAGTTAGATAGGCGCTTGTGTGTTAATAAAAATAATCAAATATACACGCACTAGATTCTCGCTTTTCCTATCATATACAGGGTGTCTGACAAGCTATCATACCGAAAATATACAAGTAAATCTTGTTATTTGGAAACAATTTTTCCTCAGCAAAATATTGCATCAATAATAATTTTCGAGTTATAAGCGATTTTGAAAATAAAGGGTTTTAAAATCACACATTATCCAATTAAATTCAAGTAGAGTTACTTTAATAAAATTTTAATTTAAGGTTTAGTTATAAAGAGATACATGATGGCAAAAATTGAGACAATGCAAAAAAATGATGGCTTTCCTCGATATTTTTGTTGAGGAAAAATCGTCTCCAAATAACGAGATCTACTTGTACATTTTTGATGTGACACTTTATGTTAGACATTCTATATATATTATTAAACGACTATTTATATATAACAACAATTAATTTTAAATTAATTTTAAAATGCATTTCTCTAAATGTCGAGACTCTCTCTAAACTCTTCGCTATTAAACGACTATATATGTATAACAATAATTAATTTTAAATTAATTTTAAAATGCGTTTCTCTAAATGCCGAGACTCTCTTTAAACTCTTTACTAGCAAATAATGGCATTCCTATTGCATGTAAATTTCTCACTCGCAGGTACGCGAGTACATGGGACGGCAGGATGGGAAATGCACATGCACATACAGATACGAATGCGAGGTGGATTGGGATACGACTGCGGATACAACCTGGCTGTTAGTTTAGCTCAGTTTAATTTAGTTTAGTTTAGTCAATAGCTCAGTCCCGTTATTGTATTCCGACGCTCGGCGTGCCGGCGAGTACCGTAGGACCACCCTCTTCATTTGCATACCGGGTGTGCCCGCGTAAATACTAGACTCGGAAAAGTCTGCCCTTGGCACATCAAAGGGATGGCGGCGCGAATTAACACCCCCATCCCTTCCTCCTTCATTCCGCCCGCAAACAGAACCGACGAAATATCGGCTTCGAATGTGACGTCATTGTTGCACGTTTAGGAAGGCTGCATCATGGCACGCGCGTTGATAAAAAAAACCGTGGTTGTCGCCGCGTCTTTTGATAAAGAGCTCGTCTCTCTCGAAATAAAAGACATTCTTGAACTAAAAATAAAGGTAAAATAGACAATCGCTTTCTTTCGGAAGGATTATTAGATTCGTATAAAATGTTTTAGATATTTTTATTATCTAGTATGCGTTTTTATTAAGTTAACCGATAATATACATGACGCAAAAACATCGCTTTGTAATTCACTGTTTACAAAGAATCCCATATAAAATAGTTCATTCTCTGTGTAGCTATTTTATATTTGTATATATACATATATTTAGTTCCCCTTAACGATAAAATATATATGCAAGGATTTTTCAAATATTGCGAACCGTATATATAGTTCAAGGAACGATGTAAAATGAGTGAGTGATGTATGATGGCAAGCCGTTGTTTATCGAGAAAATAATTTCATTATAAATACTACAGACACATTGCAATTTTCAATAAAGTATTGTAATACTATCTCTATAATAAAAATCTCAATGCACTTATCAATATGTTGCAATGAAATTAATGAGTAATTTTGAACAGTATCTATAGACATAGCTTTGAATTATATATTCTACTCTGTTAGTCTATAAAAAAAACAAAAAAAAACAGATATGCATATCAAGACTTGTATTATAGATTAATTCAGCAAAAGTGTTTAAATAAAATTAAGAATTATGAAGTATCTTGTTAAATGCATTATAGGATGTCTCAAGATCAAATATCAATTGTCTGACCTGAGTATCGGATAATTCATCCGAGGCGGACATATTGTCGAGAGTCTGTAACCATTCTGAAACTTTTTCTTTACCATCAAAATCGCTTGGTAATATACTAAGACGATTCATAGTGTCCATGAGATCCCTTAAATCTGGATGTAACTGATCCATAGCTTTAATTTCCAATCGTAGTTTATCCATAAGCGTGATAAATAATGAAACAATGTCTGCAATGCATTTGGAGGTGTTGCCTTTGTCATCTTTTATCGTAATCGGTCTGTCCTCTTTGATTCTTTCGAGTGCAGCTGGACAATCTAATCGGAATGCTCTGGTGAAAGAATCAATTGTCGGAAACTGATCGCTTTGTACCTATAATGAAATATTAACTTGTTACACTCAATTTTCTTGTAAAAAAATGTATTTTTATATAAATTATTATCATTTAATGTAATTTATATATAAATTTATTTGTAAAACAATATGTTATATCAAGAAATCTAAGAATATTCAATTCTTTGTTTCACATTCTGCAAACTGACCTGTTTAAATGCTGCTCTATATTGCACTAACAATTTGCTGCATGCCGCTGTATATTCCTTTGGTGTCACGCAATCCCTGATGTAAGCCTTTTCCAAATGTTGCAACGTATTCACCACAGCATACAAATCCGCTTGATTATCATGCTTCTCTCTTTCTCGGGCATTTTTGTAGAGCTTAACTTCCTCATATAATTCGGGTCGATCTTGAGCTATCGACATTCTTCTAAAACTGTAAAAAACATATTTTAACAATGCTTCAACAAATTTTCTTTGAAGTTTGGTTAGATTAGGAACAACACAAAGAGGTTAAAGCAATCACATGTTCATATTTCGTACAAATTTCAATTGCTTTTCCAAAGCAAATGTCTCGTCAATTCAAAAGACTTATAGACTAAACTTAAACTACGTAATAATGTAATAAGTTAATGATACACATCTTAATGTCAAATGTCAAGTAATTGATACGTCAAAGATAAATATTTTGGAAAAACATGCTTTATTACTCACTTTTATGATAGAGAGCAGTAGATATTGTTAATTTCACTCGACTGTTCGTAATAAAAATTACGTAAATTTTATTAAATGTTAGAAACAACGAGCTTTAAATCTATTTGATAACAAGCTTTTCGCGAAGACGAAAACACTGATGAATCACATAAAATACAGAGTCATCTTTAGTGAGAAACCAAACTAATGTGTCACGTGATCATGCGAGAGCTCGCAATACCTCGTGAATTAAATGCTGCAATCTTCTCTCTGGTTTAAACAAATTTTATTTTATAACATCTTACAACTTATTCTCAAATAACTTTATTTTATAAAAATATTATTTTTCGCATATATTATAAGAAGAATATAAAAAAGGTAATCAATTTGCATTAAAATTATATTACAAATGTGATAACACATGATATACGATGTACACATTTGATTAAAATAACTATTTCATATGAATAAATCGCAATTGTATTCCTATGTTATATCACTGAGAGATTCTGTAATAATTACATAATAATTATGTATTAATTATCACAATTATACTAATTAAAGTCATAGATAGCAAGATAACAACAGCCATTTGAGAAATATATATAAACAGTTATTATAACAATAATTATTAACTCCACTCTATAAATATAAGAATTCTCTCCAATAACAAGTTTTTCTAAATATAAAATGTATATATATCATTAAGAATCAAATATTTGCTGCATTACATCAGGTTTTTCATTGCAGGGCTTTCTCGCACAGAATGGAAACTCTCTCCCTTCTTCTATACAGGGACAGGTAAACTCTTTAACAATTAATTTCTTACATTTATGCGAATGGTCCTTCTTTCTAATAATATCAGGTACTTCGCAATTGTTGTTTATACTTATATATGTTACTCCCAAGGTAAGATTGTCCTTATCTAAGATATCCCAAGGCGGATAGACATTTATCACAACTTCTGACATCATTTTTAATGTACCGACTATATCACAGACTAACATAATTGTTATATCTCTATGCAAGAGTTCCTTTGGATGTGCTTGAACATTGTTCGATTCCGCCTCTTCGATCTCTACGTCACATTGCAAGAGATTAAAAGGATCTTTAATCAGGGAACCTTCCAAAAACTGATTACCAAATTGCTTTAAAGACTTGTGCACAAATACGCTGATAAATCGTGATGATGTAGCATCATCATGCTCCTTATTCATTCGATGACGCCATATACGAATTCCAGATATTTGTGCATTAACCAAAGACTGTAGTTTTGTAACCATGCTTCCTCTGTAACAAAAATGCAATAATAAAAATAATAGAAATCGCATTTACATATATATGTATATATATATATATATATATATATATGAAAATGCATTGTCTCAATACTTACTTTTTAGGCTTGCGACGTTTTTTTCCAGAGTCTAATAGATGCGCATATATACTTCTGTCTGGAGACTTCTTCGATGGAGTAGTTATAGTACTAATAATGGCATCAGTTTGAATTGACTTGCTGTCTGTCTTCTGGGTTGTTCTATTGAAAGATGGTATCTGCGAGATCTTCGCAGACAATGGTGTATTTTCATATTGTATCACTTCAGTTTCTGAAGAATAAGTTTTGTCCAAGTCATCGGCAGGTAATTGTAAGAATGATTGTCTCGAAGGAATCAAAGACTTATTGAGACTTAATAAAAGCCGAGATGTTTGTTGTGTAGTTTCTTGTGTATCAATATCCTCTATTAAATTGCTCAGATTATATTTGCTACTGCTTTGTGTGTTGGAAAGTTGATTATCTTCATTATCTTGACTATCATTGCTCGTATTTATATCTATATTAAGAATATTCTTATCAGTGTTATCACTTGAACTGTCTTCGTTTGATCGATCTTGTATATTTAATGATAGAAATGTCTGTTTATTTTTTTCTAAATTTCTTTTTGCTTCATTTAAGAAGATATCTGTTTTAACTGTGTCATCCAACTTATCATAATCCGTAGATATCTTTCTCAGAATACTATGATTATTATCAAGTTCTATTATTGGATTTACATTTGTGACTTTATTGCGTAACTTTAAACATTTTGGAGAAATGCCATTCGGTCCATTCTGCAATTTTCTTCGTTTCTTCCTACAATGTGTGTCAAGGACAGGAGAGGTCTTATCAATCTTCTCTGCACAAGGTGGTGTGCACTGAATCTCACTTAAACTCTCCTGTTGGCTCTCGTTCCTCTCTTCATGTTTATAGTCCAGTCCAGATTGCATCGTACAGTCTGCAGGGTGACCTGCGTTTTCCCGGGAATCCACATTATCCACTGTTTTCACTCTAGCATGTCTATTTATACCGATCTTTTTCCTAGGTCGCTTCCTGCTGCTGACGAGTATCGGCGAACTCGTGGAGGTAGTCGACGATGTTCCAAGAACGGGGGACGATTGGGACAAATCTTTGCTGGATATTTCGTTGTTCGGTCCTTGAGTTTCGAGCCACGTGCGCACGTAGTCCCTCTTCTCCGTGCATGGTATGTAAGCGATATTCTGATCAATCACAAGGACGCGATCCGAGGTGGGACGCTGCTCCACAACGTCGAGCTCGAGGATCGATTTCCCGAATTTCAAACATCTCACGTGCCTCGGTTTGACATCACACGATGCATCTCTGCTGGAATGACAGCTTGATTCTATGAAGTCTGACATTACGAAAATAAATTTAGTATATAGTTCTTGTCCCGTGGCGCGAAATTACACAATCGCGACGTATGTCAACAAGACGTAATCATGTGTATCCTCCTGGGCATCGCCATCTTGCCGTTGCCATGACGATCAGTTGCCATTTTCGAACAGTTCGAATTGTGTTGCGCCCAGCTTCAGATCAAGAACTTGAGCAGCTCTACTTATTAGGTAAATCAATCAATTATATTTGAATATTTTTTATTAACTTAATTAAAGGAACCAAGATTGCAAAGAAATGTTGTTAATAAATTTGATTATGCAAACTTGCGATTTATATTTATAAGAAAATTGACAGTATAAATTTTCTGGTATTTTCCGATTTAAAATTGCAAGATTTTATGTTTCACACAGTTGAAAAATTGGTGTTTTCTTGTTAAAACTTTTCGTGTTAAATATTTCATATATTCATGTGTTAATTTAACATATTATTGTTGTGTTAATGAATTCAAATATTAAGTAATGAAAACAATTAAAAAAAAATGTAAAAATAACATACAATATGCATCTATTTTTAATTTACACACAATAAATATATGTTTCGCATTATTTAGTGTTAAGATTTATCTATTAAAATTTACAAAAAAAATGTTGATTTTATTTTACATACAAGTGGAGATGATAAAATGTAAAATCAATATTATTTTAATTAATTTTACATTAAAATTATATGTTAACTTTATACGAAATTTACTTGAACCCATACAGCACCGAAAGATTGCAAAAACATTACAACAATCTTTCACCGCAATATTGCAATATTGCAAATTCACTGCAAATGTTGCTACATCATTGCTGTTGAATTGCAGCAATGTTAAAATGTCCGCTTTTTGGAAGATTGCAACAAAATATTACAACAATATTGCAATATGTTATGAGTTTGCAATAATGTATTGTTATTGCAACCATAAACTAATGTTGCATATACAGGTATATAAATGTAAATAAATCATTTATGAAAATACGTTGTAGTTAATTCATATATATTACAATATATAAATTATAGAATTTGGATTACATGCAATATTTCCGAAATATTAATGTCATGTTGCTACAAGTGTGCTGGAATTTTGTGCACTTATATCTCTGCAATGTCTTTATAATGTTGCATTGCAACTTGCAACATTGCAACGTTGCTGCAATATATTTGCAATAATCTGTGCTGTATGGGAAGTTAGTATTTATTTTATGTTAAAATATTAACGCACAGTATTCGTGTCACCATTTAAAATATCCATATTATGTTAAATTAACACAAAAATTTGTGGATTTGGGACATGTAATATGTTAAATTTAATACTTTTCAACTGTGTATAAAATGTTTATGTTGTTTTAGCATTTCATTATTACATCAAGAAATCAATAGAATCATAATTTTTACAAGAGTGCAAAGAATTTAACGAAAAATTTTTTACTAATAAATTTGATTACGTAAACTTGATTTATATATAAGAAAATTGATAGTATAAATATATTTTATAGCCCTTCTATAACAAAATGTAACGCTACAATAGTTTTTATCCTAATATAAATAGCATCATATTTGATTACATTAAATAACATCCTTAATAATCAATCAAAATTATAAAAGATACACACATTTTATGCAATTTAATTATTGAATAATGTAATTTAATTATATCAATTTCTTTAGCAAAAATTATTTGTGTATGTGTTTAGTCTCTCTCTTTCTAATGAATTTCTAGTATAGTTATAAATCTTACAATTTTATCAAGAATTATAATTTATATGAGAGAAAATTAATTTTACTCTCTCTCTTAAAAGGTGATAAACATTAAGTGAAAGATGTGTATGTATATATGTACTTCGTAAGTTCTCTTAATTCTATTCAAAGAGAAATCGCACTATCTTTTTTCTACCACACTATGCCTTCGCACTTTGATGGGTGTGCTTAAATGTACAAATGCGAGATTTAGTATGATAATATCCTGTGTTCCGCGGACCTGCTTCAATAGCATCCGCTATAGCCTGATTTGAGCACGCGGATGTGATACGACTATCTTACCCTGATGCCGAGTGCTCTTATTCAAATAGAGCGACAAGATGTTCCTTCCGACCCCGTTCGATCATGATTGATGCAAACCCTTGCGCACTTGAAGCGTCACGCCTTTGATCAACCTTTTTTTAACAAAAAGAGAACGCGCGTCTGAAAAAAATAGGAAGTCGATAAAATTGTTCTTCTTTTATGCAAAAAAAAAAAAAAAAAGGGAAAAGAAGCTGTTCGTTTATCTCCGAAAAGAATATCCATTTTATTTTACGAACTGTTCTATACCATTGCTGATCTATCATAATTTCATATTATTCATATATGTTACATTAAAAATTTAACTCTTTTTAATTTTCTTCTAGGAACTAAAAATGAGGCATCTTCCTCGGAGATTCATTCCTGGCGAAGTCATGCAGCTACATCTCTCAAGGCGGACTCAATCGTCTTTGCGACGATCTGGGACGAAACGACCGACCACAATGTGAGAGGTAAGTGAGGAAGAAAGAGAAAGAGAAACAAGTCGAGAAAGGGTTTAGGTCGGTGTGGAAATCTAAATCGTCGAGAGACCACCGGGCTGCGCGCGGACACAATTACCGGGCGGCGAGTGTCGAGGAACCCCCTTTTATATATTAATAGTCGAGATAGAGCCGTCTGTGTGTGTCGCGTTTATACCGAGAGGGCCACCTCGGTTAGGACGATGGTTGGGAGCCCAGGGGAGAGAGCGGTCCCGGAGGATCGTTGTCGGCAAATGGTAGGGGCGAAAAGAGAGGTTCGCGCGAGAGCGAGAGGTCTCGAGAGCCTCGTACGTTCGATCGAGGGAGATCGAACGATCGGGGTGGACAGGGGGGCAATGGGGGAAGTAGAAACTCGAGGGGGGCCTCGAAATGATAGTTACGAGGACGGGATAACGCGCGGACCCCTTGCATCTACACACGGTAGGCCTCTCAGTTTCAGTTCGGTTACTTGCTCCTTCTAGCGGTAGGTAGTGGTGCGCTTTTTTACACTCTGTAGGGGTGAGATAGATGAGTAGATGGGAAAAAAAGAGAGACGCGGAATTAAAAGAAAGTGAAAAGGTGTGATAAAAATTAAAATCGGAACATTAGCTTATAAGAGGAAACGGGGGAACCAAGAATATCGAAAACGAGAGGCTACTGAGGAAAAAGGAACGGAAAAAGGGAGCACAATTACGAATAAGAAGAGATCGAAGGGGTGCAAGATTACGAACTTCCGGAGTCTGAAGAAACAGCCAGAAAACTTGCGATCTCTGTCTCGAGAACATCTTCCCATTCTTCTTTGTCATCCCTCGTCGGTGGCGCGTAGTTGGGGGATGATGTCTCGCGGCGGTGGTCCAAGACGAGAATCGTAAAGCGCATTTATTTTCAATGAATACACGCGTAATATACACATATATATGTACACACATATCGTCATGGCAGAACGGAGGTGACCGGATGCCGGGCGGTGCAGTGATTCGATTGATTCGCTGAAGAGTGTTCGTGGCTTCCACCGAACTTCCGAGTGCCGCGTTAAGCGAATGTACGTGTGCGTGCGTGCGTGCGTTTGTGTCTCTTGCTACGTGCGTACGTGCGTGCTTGCGTGCTTGCGAACGAGCGCCAATCGGGGCCTTATTACAGTGATCCCTTAAGCGCTCGCTTGTGTACGTGCGCGGCTCGCGAAGGAAGAAAAGGCGGCGGGTTTATCTCGGCTAGTTTATCCGAGGTGGTCCATCCAAGTGAGAGCATCATCGTCGTGTCATCATCGTCATCATTCTCTCGTCATCAGCCCCCATCTGCGCGCTGTCGCATTTCAATCAGCGTAACATCAGAGGAAGCCACGGCCGGACGCGCGCGCCTCATTGAGCTTTCTTCGATTCTTGGGGTGGGAAATCGCAGGGATTGATCGATTTCGGGGTAAGATCGGACGACTCGTTCATTCATGAGGCCAGGGTGGTCGCGAATGTCTGCTGATTTTGCGGAACGCTAAATTAATGTTAACTACGGATTAATTAATTCTCCGTTTTCAGCTATAATTCTATATGATAAAGATGAAGGAACGATTTTATTAGGAAAAATTGATTATTTGAAGGTTTGACGTTTAAACCGTATTATAGTGTAAGCAAAAAAATTATTAATCTCTTAAGTTGTGTTTTGAGAATCGAAACAAATAAAATATGAAATGTGAGATAATTATTTAAAATATTATATCTTTTCCATAAAATAAACTAGAAATTGATAGATACATATTTCGTTCGAGTAATCAAGAAATTATGCGAAACTATATTATTTATATGCAGGATTTGTATTAATAATATTTTACACTTTCTTGTTTAAGAATATGTTATTGTGTCCAAGAGTTTTTTGCAGATATACGACATCTCTTTTGCATTTCGTAACAGGTTCGATCAGTTGATATCACGTCAGAGAAATCCACGTCATAGTAAAGCACGTCATCCGCCACCATTTCTCTTATCAGGCATAGCTATTATACTATCGCCGGAATAGAGATGATTACATCCTTAATTTTGTCAGGTGCACAAGTATAAATATGCACACGATTTTGAGATCAATCCAATACATCTTAAATTTTTATAAAACGATAGACATAGACATTATTTATCAAATGACATATATATTTAATTTTTGTCGCTGCATCGTAATTTCGTTAAATTAGCAAATTATCTGCAAATTGTTTACAATTTGTTTATAATATTTAAAAACGTGTGAGTTGGATTAAATTTATAATGTTATATATAGATGACTTCTTTACACACATTTTCGTCGGTGCAAAAACTTGATTGCATAATGAATCATATATTTTCTCATACATCTTATGACTAAAACATAACATAAAGTGCATCGTTTATACATACATGCATTGCATCAAAGTTTCGCAAACAAAGTAAGACCTTTGTAAAATTTTATGCATCTTCGATAAATATCGTCATTGATTTTATTCGATTATTCAATATTATAATGAGTAACCTTATCCATCTTATTAAAAATTTGCAACAATAATGTCTTTGAAAGCATATAAAATTTTTACACATCTATAGAGCTCAATCAGAAAAAATATAAATGCAGTTTTCAATGTTTTTCCCGATATTTTTACAATATTTATCGCGAATATACACTTCGATATTTTTCATGAAATTTGACAGATATATACTTCTTTAGTTATATGAATTGTAAGATTTATATACAACAAATTTACATGAAAATTATGCATTATTAAATTACGAATTATTAAATATGTCAGAAAATTAGGTATATTATTGAAAGAAAAAAATTTACACGTGCAATAAAATTTTATCGAGGAATAAAAATGAAAATAGAAAATATGCAACTTGTATAAAATTGCAAAAGATCCTATGACGGCGTGGAATGTGCAAAAGAAGAATCGCGTAGGCGCGCGGATTCGCATGCGAACACGCAGCTGACAGAAACGACGGAGACGATAAGGTGGGAGATTGCGTATGGGGAAGAAAGAGAGGGATAGGCAGAATGCGAAGGCGTGCGAAACGGAATGACATTGTTTGCACCCGTGACGTCACCCGTAATTGTAACGAACAATGAGAGGCGCGAACGCGCACATGTGTGCATACGCACTGTGTGTACTCCGAGGTCTAGGGTTACCTGACGTCAACCATAAGCTGGCAAATAGAAAAAGCGTCGATCTTTTGTGTGTGCGTATGGGATTACAAGTTGAAGAAATCATGCACCTGCATAAATTAGGATTTCCATACATAACGAAGATACGTTAAATCAGAATAGGATTTTTTCTGTCATCTACTACTGTTGTTCTACTTTCAAAAAAGGAAATGTTTTATCTCGTCAAAAATATTTATGAATACTGTTGATTAAGTTATTAAATTATCATTATTGGTTATTTTACTGGGCATAAATTATTGATCAAAATTATACTGTGATAAGAGTTGAAAATCTCCGTTGATGCGAAACAGATTATAAGTTAATTTTACTTATCTCGCATTCAAATTCTGGTTGGTGAGATTTTGTTTTATTGTCAGTTGAGACACTGACAAGAGAGTATGAATTTGATTTATTGATGAAACCAAGTAAAGCTATAGAGTTATTTGTCATTACAATTCTTCAAAGAATAACGCCATTCGAGTTAAGCTATGACGTTTATTCGGGATATAAAAAATATGAATTATTATGGCATTATGGAATTATGCCAAATGAACTATTTTGTATGCATACCGTTATCAGTCACGAAATTATGCGTATACAAGGTATCTAATTACGTGAAAAGTGTATTATCAGTCTGATTATGAGCTATTGCTTATTATCTTTGACTTAAAAATTATAAACATCAGCATTTCATATCACCAAAGTTTCCTCAAACTGCTTACAGACAATCACGCTATATCTTAACAAAAGCCCGATTGGTAGTTTTCCATAACACAATAAATAAAATCTTGACAATCTAAATCTCTTTTCGTCTTTATCATTTGACGAAAAAATAGCAGCAAAAAGGAACAAATTCGAAGATAAGATAGAAACGTGCACTACGCGATGGCTTGATTATTGACGATTTCGTGACAATATTAATTTGTCGACAAGCACGTAGGCATGTCATTAATGGTCTTATCTTGGCTACAACTTGTACGATTATTCTCTATTTTGCTACATTTTGTTATCTAAGTTTAAACCAGATGAACCATGAATATCTTAAAAAAACGGAAGCGGACAAATTTAAGACATTTTACATTTTTCAGAATTGTGATTACACAGTTCAATAAAAAAAAATAAAGTTTGAATGTAAGAATGAAAATAATCATTTCTCCGATAATTTTTTACGCTAAATAATTTTTTATAAATTTTTAGATTTTAGCTTCCAAATTGTTCTATTATATCATAATTTCAAAAGCAAAAGTTGCAAAAAAGATTTACAATTAGTTTAATATAATTTATTGTGTCATGGCGACCATATTAAAAAAATTGTTTACAGACAAAAATAGATATGTTTAGAACTTTTTTATATTTTATTAAAATTTTTAACTCTTAAATGGTTTAAAATCGAATTTGTATATCAATTATAATTAATAAAATATTTATGATCAAATATATATCTATTGCACGAGAATTAGGTCATATATAATATCAAATATTTTTGAATATGTTTATTTAAATTTAAGGATATATTTTTAATACGCGAATCTATCAAAATTGATAAATATAAAATGGTGAATTCAATAAAAATCTGATAATGTTTTAAATATTGACATCCGCTCTATTTCGTCATTTTAAGTTCGTCAATTTTGAGTTTGTCAACATTGGATTCGTATTCTAAAAAAATTATGTATTATTAGCAATGAGAAATATTGTAGTACACATGGCACATCTTACAGAATTAAACTTCAAAGAGTAATAAATTCTGAGACAGTCTACGAAATACAACGTATAATGATAAATCGTGATATATATAGACATCTTCTTTACTTGATTAGTAGTTTATAGCTGTTCATATATCATTACGCACAATGTATAATAAAGTTGCACGTCTGGTTGAGCTTCTTATATCTATGAAAAATATAGAAAAATGAATAACATCACCCATTAATTCATCACAATCACGCCGGATAATCATAATTTACGAACGAAACAACGAAACAGGGAAATATAATTATTCTTCTCCACTTATCATAGTTCACATCAGGTGACGTAAATTAGAATTGCATGTTATTATTATTCCGAATGACCGATAGAAATGCATTTCTACAGACTGACGTATTTTGTTGCAATAATGTTTTCTGATTCTTGTTTATCGTATTTACTTGGTATATTTGTATATTTGACATTTCATCTTCCACAGAAATACATTGAGAAATACATCTATATACATATTAAGCATAATAATTTATGCCAATCCATGTTCTCGCATAAACATTGATTCGCATTAACTGAACTTTATACTCTTCAGTTCTTTCTAACATTGAAATTCTAAGAAGAAGGCAGAGATTCAATTAATTTATTGATAATTACGAAAACGACTCGTAGACATTTATTTATAGACGCGCTATTAAATCGCTAATAATATTTTTTTATATTCATCGTATGTAGTTTCAAACTTGCTTACAAACATAATTAGCTTCAGCGCATAAATTGATCTTTCTCTGTCCTCTGCTCCTCTTCAAAATTACACTTTATTAAATTTAAAAAAATATATATTAAATATAACTCTGTTAATTTAAAGAAACAGTTTTGTTACTGTGGGAACGCGCGGTTCTTCTAACGTCGAGCGAGCTAGAATTGCATTTGCTACATCCGCACATCCCGGCGCTATGAAAATAACGTAACACGCTATGATGATAAAAGATACGTGTACTTTTGTGGAGACTCGAAATCAGGTTGTTTCTGTTTACCTCCAGCATAGACATGCTCTTATTTATCTCTCTCTCATAATTTTTAGTTTGCCCGACATGTGTGTGTAGATTTTGCATACTCTATCAACGCACGTGACTGCTGATGATCTAATTGTGACGATCTGGACTTAATTCGGTTAATAGGTTCGGTTAATAGGAACGATAGAAGCGCTTAGAGCGCGAATTTTTTATCATCATCCATTTACGTTAAGAAATATGAAGGTCTGAAGATCGAGATTTAAGAAGCTCTCGATATGTTTGTGATCATTTAAATATTTTTATTGGTTTGTTTTGAGTGTATTTATAAAGAAATATATATATGATTCTAAAATTTGGGAGGAGGTTGAGTTTTTGAATATGTATTAATTGAATAAGATAAATCATTCAAATTTATTTTATATAAATAGTATCACAAATATACGTGATGTAAAAAATGCATGGTACCTATAATTGATGAAAAATTAAAATCTTAAGAAGGATCTCATTTGTCATAGTTCGAAATGTTTTAATAGATGCATAAATAAAATTTGACAAAAATTTTATCGTTTATTTAAAAATGTGGAGCTCATAAAAGCTTGATGACAAATAGGAAGGAGGCAATTAAAAAGGAAAAGAGATTATAATTGTCATGTACAAATGCATACAAATCAATATCATGAATAAAATTGTATTATCACAATTAAGAATCGATTAGCATAAATCATAAGCTGAAAATATATTTTTGAAGAGAAAAGCAATACGAAAAAAAATTCATAATAAGAAGAAGAGATTTCGTCACATTTTCTCTCGAAGAAAAAAAAGATAAATGATAAGAAATTCCTGTTATCGTTTGACGCCAAGCAATAAATTCCCCGTGACATCTCCATGACATTATTTAAGGCTCGTCAATTTTCCAGATAACCGCCTGGCAAATCTAACATATATTTTTCCAGAGAGCTGGACCTTTCCTCGGAGACGAGGTGACGCGGAACTGACCCTCGAGTCAGAATCCGCCGGCGTTATCTCCGCCGTGACGATTGCGCACGCGGAAGTTAGCGAATAGCTGCGGGCACTTACGATAGCGTGCACTACGAAGGGAATTTCGTTTGCAGAAAGAGACCGAGGAAGAGCGACAGAGAGATACGGTGGAGAAGCGACGAGGCGGACGAGCGTCCGGAGACTGCGGCGACGCGCTTGACCGAGAAGCGACAGCGGCGGCGACTCTCGATCGGCCGAGAGAGGAGGTGGCGAGACCCCGACGAAGATGATGTTCGGTAGGATCAGACGAGAGGAGATCTTCTCCGGCAATGGCTGATCGCCGCGATGCCCGCGGCGTATGAGCCGCTTTATCGTGCGACAACGACGACAACTTCAGCATCATCATCATCATCATCCTCCTCCTCCTCATCATCATTATCTTCATCATCATCATCAAGGTACCGAATTCGGGGTCGAGTGGAGTACGAAGGATGAAGGGACGGTCCCTCGTGCCGCGAAGCGAGGAACCGCTGCGTTGTCGCGAGTGAATCGCGAGCGGTGCCGAGAAGTGTGACAGTTTGCAGCAGCAACAGCAGCCAAGCTGCAGCGAACGCGCGTCGAGGGAGAAAGAGAGTGCGGGAGAGTCAAGTGGACGCGCGTCACTTCCGTAAACAATCATGAGCAAGGGTGAGTGAACGTCGAGTTCGCCGCGGTAGTGCCGCGATCGGATCTTCAGTGGAAGAAGTTTGCCTGGTCAGACGAAACGGTGGTTCTTGAACCGCCAAGGTTCGCTAATCCCTGCCTTAGACTACTGCGACGGTTTCTCCGCGAGATAACGATACCGCGAGGAATACAGTGTCGACAAAGTTGCCGAGTGTTTGCGGGAGGATCAATGAAGACTAACTCGATCCTCTCGAGATAACAGTGAGTGAAATTGAAGAGTGCGTTTGCCAGTTTTTCCTTCTTCCTTTTCCTTTTACCATATCCTCAAGTTCTGATTTATGCGATAAGCTCTCCAAGGGATTCGGTCGACGTTGATCAGACAAGTCTGATACGACATGAGACATAAAATGCAACGCGCTCGTTCCAGCCGGATGGAAATTGGCATCTCGGTTCCGATTAATCGCGATTCCCTAGTACTCTTGATAATATCCTGCGCGACCTTGGAACCCGTGTACACCAAGTAACCGGGTTCGCGTTGTAATACCCAAAAGAGCTCGCTCTCGAAAGAAGAAAAAGAGACCAGGCCAATTCGACCCTGACGAAAAGGTGGAGAAGGCAGGGGTGGAGGTGACGAGAAGGAAGTGGCAGCGCCAAGGTGGTGGAGGAACTTCCTTGGCGGTCGCCGAAACGAAGAGGGAAACGTATGCGTTTGTAATTCGGCTTCGTGGCTGCCTTCGAGGATGAGCGACGGCGGTCATGCCGTGTAATTCGAAGGTGTACCACGCCACCGTCGCATCGTGCACGAACGTCGCCGTCGTCGTCGTCATCGGCGCCGCCGTCGCCGTTGTCGTCGTGGTGAAGCTGAGATTGGGACACGGCAGAGTCGCAGAGACACCGCCGGAAAGATGAGCTCGATCGACTTCGACGAGGTGCTGGTACACGTGGGCGAGAAGGGCCGATACCAGAACATCATGTACTACTTGCTGTGCATACCCGCCACCCTGCCGGCTGCTTTCCTCGCGTTCTCGCAAGTAAGCACGTCTGTCTCTCCTGCAGTGGTGGGTCGTTTCGGGAGATTCGAGGGTTGCTGACACTTTTCGGGACTTTTGATGCGACTACACTGAAAAAAATTGTTCAATTACTATTTTGTTTATTGAACGTATATGTTAGTATTTAATTGTAAGTCAAACAGGTTGCATTTAATTTTAATATTTGTACATGTTCAATTAACAAAATAATATTTAATTGACTTTTTTTTTCAGTGTATACATAAGTAATGGAAAATCGCTGACGTGAACTAAAAACGTTGGTTTTTAATTTGAGTAAAAAAATTTCGAATATATAAATATATTTATCTACAAATAAAAAGGCAATAAGAGCTAATTAAGTTAATTATTGCCTTTTTATTTGTAGATTAAAATTTTCTAAAGAGCTGTTACAAATTATATAAATATTTATTTTGAAAAAAGCATGATTTTAAATACAATAGATTATATTATCATATTTTTCATATCAAAGAATTTATTAAATTTCTTTTGATTATTTGTGGATATATCGAGATTTGATATTTAATATTGTTATATTAAAAATTTTACAGTAATTTATATCTTTCAGAAACGTAAATCGAACGAAATTACGACGAATAAGATAAATAAGTAGATGCAATTGATAAATTGAAGCACGTCGGTCATAATAATCAACATAAATACGCAACATTAAATTATGTGAAACAGTTTCGCAAACAGATAAAATACAGTTAGCGCAACAACGCGTACAGTTTAAACGCAGAGAAATTTCGCGAAAATGTAATATAACTCGATTATTTGCTCTCGACAGAATACCCTATATGAAAATAAATAAACACTAAATTATCGAATGTACAAGTTCATAAAATATTGAAAGCATCAAACGCATATTGAATTCTCCCAAAGTCAAAACCTGTTGATAATGTAAATTAAGTCGTTAAATCGAAATAACATCGAAATTAAAGAGGCCGAATATTTGCTGATGAAAGATTGATGCAACAATAAATCTATACCTGCATATAAATCCGAGTAATAGCAATTTTAGACGCGCGATTTTGAAATAGGTGTTTGTGAGTGCCTCGCCGGAACACTGGTGCAGGATACCTGAACTGGAGAACCTGACTGACTTGATGTCGTTGGAGGAGATGAAGGCGCTCTCGCTGCCTTACACGGTCAAGTCTGGCAAGAGAGTTTACTCCAAGTGTGACATGTACGACGTGAATTACACGGACATAATCGACTCGTGGCTACGATACGCCGACGATCTGCAGAACGTCACCGACGACTCGTCCACGTCGACGACGACGTTTCAACCGTCGACGACGACGTTTCGGTCGCCGCCTATCAGCAACCCTGACTGGCCGGTCACCAAGTGTCGACACGGATGGAACTACGATACCAGGGACTACGACAGCACCCTCGTCACCGAGGTAAACTCGACTTTCTCTCTTTCACCAATAGGGAGGAAGAGAGGAAGAAAGACAGAGAGAAAGAGAGAGAGAGAGAGAGAGAGAGAGAGAATGCATGCTGCTGTAGCTCAGAAACGAGACTGTTTCCGTCGTAACGAGGCACTTGAGACATGTCTCGCACTGATTGCGTGTGGGCAATGGCAGTTTCTGCGGATTCTTTGGCTGGCTTTGATGTACGAGAGAATCCGAGCGCCAGTTTTTCGACTAATTCCTTGATGGGGAACAAGTTACTAAATGCTTTTTACGACAATCGCGTGAATAATTTAATACACGAGAGAGATATGTAATAAGAGTGTACGCTCTGCACTCTCTGCTCTTAATTAGGCATGCCTAATTTGCTAACAATGATGTCGCTATTGTTACGTATCGTTACGCAAGTATACATTGTAAAAAAATTTGAATTATTTCAGGTAATTTCGACTTTACGGCCCAAGTGGCCGCTTAATATTCGCATCTTTCAAGTACAAAAAAACTTGGGAAATAACACGTAACGGTGACAACTATAATCATGAAAAAAACTATAGAATATCGATCTATTCATAGATCGTAAATTTTCATCGTAACAAAACACTTAAATTATTTAATCCGCATCAACTTCTTCTTTTTTTTTCCCGACGATATATAAATTAAATTTCATATAATTAATAACAAACATCTATTATCGTACGCTCGAAAGAGCGAAATCGGACATTTCTTTTCCTTCGCGGAAAGAGAGGCGATTCTCGCACGTGGGTAACTTTGACACATATTCGCAGCGCGAAGCAACGTCTGCCACGGCGATTTGCTTAATGTTTCTACGACAACCTTAATCGTCCGCCTTGGCGAACTTCTTCCTCGCGTCGGATTTCACCCACGTCGCCTTGGCCTCTGACTTCGCGGGCTGCCCCAGTGACGATTGTGCATCGCGCCGAGCTTCTCCGCGGTCCCGTTCGCGGAACGAAGTTACGTGTCTCTTCATGACGAGGTCTCACGTCTTTTCCATGAAGTATTTGCCGACGATGATGGGAACGATTGGCGCGAACGGATTAAACGGCGGAGCGCGGATTACGCGCGATTAGGTCCGATTAAGCGCGATACTCGCGAAACTAAACGAGAGACGTGACGTTCCCGCGGTTATTATATGTCACCGCGATTTTCATCATTGTCATTAAAAAAAAGCCCTCGGTAAAGGAGAGAGGAAAATTTTTTTGTAATGTTTGACAGCTAGTATTATTCAAAATAAAAGTAACTCGTTTAGGTATTGATTGAAAATATTGAAAAAGGAGACCGGAAATTACTGAAACGTGTTTACAAATCAACTACGTGAAGATTCAAAAGTCTAGAATATATATTTTGAAGCCTGTTGTATTTCAAACTCCAAACGATTCGTCACATCCTCTGTCTATAACGAGAGAGTCATTCGTCTCGCATGCATGAAATCTTCGTCATCGTTCGTAAACATTTTCATTATGAAAATTACGCTTCCGCTGTAATGCGAGAACGATATATGAGAAGCTATGAAATGTGCATTTTTTTGTTATTTTGCCGAAAATGTTTTATTTACATATGCGGAGATAGATCGTTTGACAAAGTATACGGAATTAATTTTATTTAAGATTGTGCCGTCTTACGCTTCATTTATAATCTTACACTTTATTTTTATTGCAAAATAAAGTGTGTTTTGAAAATGACTGTGTTTAATTCGCAAGTCAACAAACCGCGTATCGCGTTTTCCGGAAGAAGTTATAGCAATTTCCTGCCGTACATTTGAATACTGGAAGAAAACAACTATGTACTGGGACTAGGCGAAGTTCGCTATCACGTGGCAACAGTCGTAAGTGTTCATTAAGACATTATTAAATTGCCACAATTAGACAACGCGGTGAACTGTTGACGTAACAGGGATCACGATGCGCGGGGTCGAAAATCTAGGCGTGTTTCTTGTTCTTTTTTTTAAAATGTTTGCTGCGAAATTTAGATTTTATTAAAATCGTAATTTCGCAGCGAACAACGCGCGAGATAATTTTCAACTAATATGATAAATTATTGCTGACGGTGTTGTAATCATTATAAACAATGTCGCGCACAGACTGTGCATAATTGGAAATCTCACGGCAATACAAATCTGTATTATTGCAATATAAAAAGTGATATTTTTTAAAAAGAATATACGCAAAAGCATATGCACATTTTGAAATTGTATGGCCCACCTGCATATTTATTTTGCCCATCTTGTCACAAATATTAAATCTACGAATACGCTCATTTATGTGATCCTATATATGATAAATCAGAGAATTATTATATAATTTTCTTCGTGCATTTTCAAAATATAAGCGCTGATAAGCGCGACGATAAGCCTATCAGCGCATCGCGTTTATGTTTATTGTTTGACTCGTTCTATTCGATGTTTATACACTCCCCATTGTCGTTTTTATTCAGTACGATTACATGAATTACAACCACTGCATTTCCGTCCTTTTAATTAATCATCCGCAAAATTTATTTAACCGACGTGAAATACAGCATCCGAATTCAGCTCTCTCTTTTGTAGAGAGATTTAATTTAATGCGATAAACGCGCGGGAGAGAAATAAATTTCGTTTGTTTGTAAATGCGAGATGCTACACTATTATCGAATTAGGGAATTAAATTATTACCGGAATTGAAAAATATATCGTCGCTCTTACAGAAGCTTTTCGGATAGAAAGAGAATTATTATATAACAAATTTTACCATCAATTAAATTATTGCGAATAAACTTTCAAATTATTTTGAATAAAAAAAAAGTGCAACTGTGCGCGATAATGAATCGATTCGCATTGACGTCACAGATACGATGAACAAATCGTAAGCGATAATTCCTCGAAATCACGAGAAGTGACGTTTCGCGTTAACGTTTCTAAGATTCCGCCAAAGGGTCGATTCGCGGGAATTCAGAGCAACGCGAGAGAATCATCAACAGGTGAACAAGGTTGATGAGCGACCGAGTGATTGGCCGATAGGTTGCAGCTCTGGTGGCGTCAGCAATTGCCGACCAATTTACCTACCCCCGCATCCGGTCATATGATATGTCACATCAAACGCCTCGCACAAACTCTCTTCATGTAGAGGGTACATGTTCCTACGTACTTGGTTGCTACCGGATTCGCAACGTGACAAGCTTCCGTTTTTTTTTCTTCTCCTTCTCTCCCTCTGTCTTTTTCTTCCGCATTCTCGGGTCTCACTTTTTTTCGCGCTTCCGCATCTCTTTTTCATTGAATCTTTAACGAGATGTAATGCAATTTGCATTTTTTCCAAATAACTGTTTGGCATTGATGATATGATGTGCGACGTGTTGTTTTTTGCCAAGTGTCGTTCGCACTGAATTTTCCCAATTATATTCAACACTCGTGAACTCGTTTACTTAATTAGTAGCGCACGTAATACGTTGTTGGGACGAGACGGAATTATTGTCTGCGATGAAATAACGCTCGTCCAACCTCGGGGAATATTTTTTCGCGGACGTTTTTTTTTTTTTTTAATCGGGGACGAGAAGAACGAGAGAGGCCACGTCGCAGCGTGATGGCAAATAAACGCGTGGGCATTCGCGCTTGTATCCTTTGCTTCCGATCCGATGATTTATTGTGCTCGATTTAGGAGCTTCGCTTTCATGACACTACTCCGCACGAGACCGCGGAACAGGTCATTGTCTTTTCCGTGTCGACATGTGACAAGCGGCCAAGACGAATATACACCACATATATCCGTCACTTCCTCTCTGCTCCGATTTAATTTACAGCATGCCAAGATAATTTATATTTATATTCGTAATTTATGTGTGTAATTTACATCGATAATCTCTGATATATTTATTCGTATAACATTATGTATTTATAACGCTGCAATATATTAATAATTATGATATATTAGTAATTGAATTAATTTAGCTGTTATAAAATATATTTGTAATTATATGAATTTTTTTGGTAATTTTTAATTGACAGATGAATAACTCGGATTACCTATAAATTATCTTTCATTGTAGTATTGTTTTCAGCAGCTATTTTCTTATAAATTTATTTAAAAAAAAAGCGTTCTCTGCGCTAACTTGTTACGGTAACAGAACAAATACAATAATTTCGTAAAGTCTTCTCTTTCTTGTTCTATCTCAGTTTCTCGGAATACCGTCATTTTGAATATCACGCGGATCAGCGAGCAACTTAATGAATTATAAATATGCATAGACACGTGAGAATGCTTGAAAATCGTTGACTTTAGATTAATGTTCAATCTGGAGAAAAAATCCTGTATTAATTAACGGAAGTATATACAAAGTAGTTTACGAGACTCTTCGTCTTAAATCAATAACGAGGATCATTTAAATTATATGTGGAGACTAAAAACGTCCGTTGCACGATAAATTTGCTGAATTATTTCTTCGTGACAAATCAATGATGCATGATATCTTTTCTAAGAATTAACAATGTTTTTTATTTCGGAGTATTTGAATTCATTCTGTGAAAGGTGACGTATAATTATCTCGTGGCAAAATTAGCATTGTATAATCATAAATGATAAAAGGGGATGCAAAGTATCGAGCAAATCAGGTCCAACGTAGAAAGTGATAAAGAACGGAAAACGGAAGGGCAGGTTTTACCTCTTGATAACTCTTTGCGTCATGTGTCTGCGTAAATCCGGAGCCAGGTCACAGATAGATTAGAGCTTGCGATCCTAGATGAGTATCGCGTGGCGAACAGAATTAAGTACGTAGAAAAATGTATCACAAATTTCGTCCTCAATTGATTAATTATCACACGAAATATTCTCGCAACTTGACGCGAAATTTTGATATCAGTCGCATCGCGTTTCTTTGCATATACATTTTTCGCAGAGACAGAGAGAAAGAAAGCTAATTGTATGCGATTATAAATATCGTACTGTATTTTACCGATCTTACATATCTGTGCAATAAGTTGCATAAACAATAATCGCGATAATGAACGATAATCGCGGCCATATCAATATCGCGCGATTTCAAAGTGTGTCAGGGTGACAAAATATACATACGTGTTATTAATGTCCTTATGGGCGGCGCGCATTGCCCTTGACAATAACTCGATAGCATCATCAGCGGGTGCTCTTCTGTCTTTCCGCGCAATTTATCTTTTGCGCGTTTCGCGCAGACCTCGAAAGTCCGTGAGTGGCAATTTGCTTAAATCAAACTTCGTGTCAAAGCCATTAAACACGCACCGCCAGACTTTATTTGTCGAGGCTAATAGGCACTCGATTGAGAGATTTCGTTTGTTCGAATCTGTTTATTGGTTTAGAATAGAATTCACACGTGGTGTGAATGTGGGTGGGTTGATTTTACTACTGTCAGTTGCATCTTTTCGTCGATGCATGTCAAAAGCGCAGATGCAGTTGCGTCTTATTGAGAGAGAATTTTGGAAGAGAATGCTCGCGATTTCCTTATTTTTTTTTTTTTTAATTATTTTGTTATTTTTTTAATTATTTGTTAACTTTATTATTTAGCGGTGCTTAATTATTCCGAATGCAGAGTTATTGTGAAGTCGACGAGATATTCTTTCTCATAAAAAGATCTTATGGAATTTAATCGTCTTTTAAATAGAAAATAATTAAAATAAATATCTATATAATGAGAAAATAGTTTTCTTTTTATATTAAAAATTAACTGAATATATGTACAAGAAATAATTTCTTAAACAACATGCGAAGGAACAAATTGATTTAGAAAATAAAATGGTTGAATAATAGAATTCTTTAATTAGTGCGTCGCATTAAAATGCAAAGTGTAGGCGTCTGTCGTCATCATTTGCATTAACAAACATGCGCTCGTTGAGATGATTCGCTGTCGGTTTCGCCGCGCGAGATCGCCCGCAGATCGCGCACGAGAGAAAGAGAGTCGGGGACTTTAAAGGGCGCAGAGGAAGGGGGACCGTGTTCCTCCTGTCAAACGAGGGTGATGGACATCTCTCACTGTGGGAAGCTTACCAATACACCTTGGCGTCCTTCGGATGAACACGCGCGTCCGCATACGAGCTTGCAATTTACATGCAGAGCCCGGTACACGTAAGCGTGCCCTCCCCACTCGCGATAAACACGAGCGCGTTTACGCCGGTAGCCTTCCGCGTGAACGCAACGAGATGAAACGCCTCCACCATCGCGCTCCGGTCCAGCGCAGCATCCCCCTCGCTTCCCCTTATCGCTCCATTCTTCGGAGAGCGCGCGCGAGCGCACGCGTGCGTGTGTCATCGATGCTGGATGCTGGATGGACCGACGAGCAAATGACGATCGGCCGAGTGACGCGTGTGTTCACACGTGTGCGAGCACGCACTCCGCTTCGTCGCTAATGTTGGCGCATAGCGCGCCATTGTGCGCCTGTATTTAGAGCGCTTTGCAGAACGTTTACCGTCAATGTCAGCGAATATGATAAACTAGTCTAGCTACTCTCTTTGACGTACAATTTTTATATTTAATTTAGAATTTTTTATCAAATTTGAAATGTATAGCTTTTTCGCATTAAAATCCACGAAGGGTCTTTTAAAGGACAAAGGGTGCGTTTGCACATGGAAAACTTAAATTTATTTCTAATTGATACCTACATGTTGAAATTTTTTTATTTAAAGTTTTAATTTAAAAATTTTCATTAACTTTAACTCATTTTACAGCATCTTGTGTTCTTATATCATGACCCATATCTTACAAAATACATACATGTCGATTATTTGTTTATAAAATCTCGGAATTACATTGATCGAAAACAGTTTGTAATTACATATATTATACACATTATAGACATTTATCTGAGTAGAAGCACGATAACAGTTTAATCGGAGCAATGACTTCTTCGGACATTCCGAGATATCAATTTATTTCTTCAAGTCTTCATACAAGTCGATATTCATAATCTCGTTAGTTCTGTGAGAATTTTCTGGCTCGACTATATAGTAATCTTATTTCAGCGTTTTTACTCGTCTTGTTTGGCATTTCTCGAGATTAAATAAATAAAAAGCTTTGAAATGCTTCGATTAATTAAAACACGCATGCTTTTCTTATCATCACTCATTATCCAATTAATGTAGTGCACATATATTGTCCATGAATTTGATCTCTTTATTACAACTTAAACATAATGTTACGCTTGATTATTTTTTATTATTTACTTTTATATTATATTTATATATTTATTTTTCTATGCCATTATAATTGCACTAATTATTTTGTTTCATTAATGGATGATTTCTTCGGCTTAATTTCGTCAATATGCAAATTCTCGCACTGGCGAAGTAGTTTAATGGCGTTCTATATCCACATAGCTAGACCTGGTATGTGACAACAGTTGGTGGCCTTCCACATCGACGACTTTCTTCTACGTAGGCAGCCTCTTCGGCAACGTCGTCTTTGGTTGGATCGCCGACAAATGGGGCAGAAGAACGGCCTTCTTCGCCATCCTATTTCTCGAGGTGATATTCTCCATCGCCACGAGCTTCAGTCCGAATTACGTGATCTATACCGCGTTGAGGACTGTGAATGGTCTCTTTTTTCCTGCCATTTATCAGATACCTTTTATACTTGGTACGTGCATCACACATCATTTACACAAGCTCTGTTCAATCACTAAATTTCAAACAAAAATGTATACCACGAAAGTTTGAGATATATTTATGATTCATTTTGGCTGAATAATTTGTAGCGAAATTTAAGATAAAACTTTATTTTTTAATTTTACACATTGTGTAATATAGAAAACATATATATTCGAAGAAGAAATATTTTGTTGCAGCTCTCGAACTGATGGGACCAAGATATCGAACATTTGCCGGAATGGTAATCTGTATGTTCTTTGCTACGGCAATGTCTCTTCTGGCGTTGCTGGTAAGTCCTTGTTCATCAAATGTAAGAAAATGATAAAATACAGTATTTTATGACAAAAATTTCGACATCGCGAGAAACCGACTTTGCATGATCACGAGAGTAGCTTGTACATAATAAATTTAACGCGAGGGTGCAACGCGGATCATTTTACAAGCGATCCATCAGTGTGCATCATATGCAAATGCGAGTGATTCATCACCGCATACAAGAAACATTCAGATATTTCCGAATCGACGAGAGAGATCGATAAATATAGAGATAAAAAAATTCGAATGAGACTTTCACACCAAATTATTAAAGTTAAAATATATTTTATCGAAATTTATTATATATATATTAAAATTATATTATACAAGAAATTGTGTGCGAAAATGTGGCAAAAAGATTTCGTTTTTATTCGTTATTTTTTTGTTTTCATTCGCTTTTATTTTTTCTTTCCGTCAGGGTTATTTGTTAAGGAACTGGTACACCTTATCGTTAGCCACATCGGTGCCTTTCATTCTTCTCTTCAGTTACTACTGGATCATCCCCGAGTCACCGCGGTGGCTTCTCAGTAAAAACAGAATAGACGAGGCGGAGGTGATCGTCCAGCATATGGCAAAAGTCAACGGCAAAACAGTGCCTACGAACTTTCTCCGAAAAATGGAGGTAATTTCATATTAATATTTAATTATCACAACACATATTTCTTCGATTAGTTTATAACGTATAAAAAATATATTATATCATTTTTTTTAATTCCTCATATAATCGAGAGGACCGTATGAAATTTAGCGATCGTTATTTGTAGGTAGAAATATTAAAGAGACAAGGAATATCGTGTAACGGTAAGAATTCCAACGACAGCAACATCGACGTGGAGGGCGAAAACAGACAGCCGCCGTCTTCTGCGACCCCCATGGACCTGATCACGAATCCGAACATCAGGAAGAAATTCTTCATTCTCGCTTTCGATTGGGTGGCGAACGCGGTGGTCTACAACGGACTGTCCTACAACACGACCAACCTAGGTGTTTCCGATTATCTGGCTTTCTTCATCGGTAAAAGCTCCATTCTCTTCTTTCGGTCAATTGTCAAATCAATTTATACAGGATGTCTGACACAAGTTGTCACACCGAAAATATACAAGTAGATCTTGTTATTTGGAGAGAATTTTTCCTCGCCAAAAATGTCGAGGGAGACCATCATTTTTTGGATATTCCCAATTTTTATCATCATGTATCTTTATAACTGAACCTTAAATTAAAGTTTTATTAAAGTAAACTCTATTTGAAATTAATTGGATAATATGGTTTTGTTTACTGTATTTCCACAAGACTTATTGTTATAGTTTGCGAAAAACTCTTTATTTTCAATCGCTGATAACTCGAAAATTATTGATGCCTCAATATTTTTTCTAAGGAAAAGTTGTTTCTAAATAACAAGATCTACTTGTATATTCTAATAAAAATATGTGACATTTTTACGCTTATTTCCTACAGGAGGCATCGTAGAGATTCCATCGTACTTCATTACGTGGTACGCGATGGATAGATTGGGCAGACGATGGGTACTGTGCGTGACGATGATGCTGGGTGGGCTCGCTTGCGTGTCATGTATGTTCGTGCCCGAAGGTATTACTTCGTCGATTTATCTCTTACTCTGATTCAAATCTTGTTCGTTAAACAAAAGGAGTAATTATCTCCCTCAAACAATTCTATCTCAAAATTTAATTTATTTTTTCAGCTGTTTATACACTCTTAATCATTTTTTTTATCATACTTGGATATTTTATCACATTATAATGAATTTAAAAAGCGAAAATGTATGATGATGCATAAATGTGTAATGTGTAATATCATTACCGCGCGTTGCTCATCTCTCCGTATTACTCGATTATCTCTACGGGATCGAATAAAAGTATTAAGTCGAATCGCGCGCTTCTACGTCACGGCGGCCTCAAACATCATTAGCTTATTGAATTCGTCATGATATTGTCACACACACGCTCAACACGAGCGAGAAATTACGGTCGCGCCGACGTCACAACGTTCATGAATAAACGTTCGACCTGCTTATAAATTAGTTATTACCTGCACGCGTAATACAACTCTTATTAGGAATCAACGAAACGTAAGCTTCAAATTCTCATCTCGGAAAGAAATCAATGAAATAATTTAAGGCAACGAAGTATGCAATTTCCTAATCAAGAGACTCAGGGAATATCGTACAATTTATACAGGTATTAAAAAAAGATTACATATTTTAAGACCAACTAGTATTGATAAAAAAAAATATCTAATAAACATAGGTCCTACAATTAATATCTTTGAGGATCAGGCTATTTAACTGTTTGAGCTTATTGTCCATTTCCTATTGATAACATCACCCTTCCATTTAACGTTATTATAAAATGTTACTATTTTGTTTACTACGATATAAGAAAAAGATAATAAGCTCGAAGAGAAAAGTAGTTTGCATTTTCGAAGATATTGATTGTAGGACCCATGTTTACTAGACCTTTTTTCTTATTTTGATCAATACTACTTAATCTAAAAAAATATGTAACTCTTTTCAACACCCTATATACAGGATGTCCCAATCTTACCGTACCATCCGTTTATGGGAGACTCCTAAGGTTATTTGAAGACGATTTTTCTTTAGCGAAAATGTCGAGAAAGGTGATCATTTTTTTATTGATCCTAATTTTTAAAATCGTGTATCTTTGTAACTAAGTCTTAAATTAAAATTCTATTAAAGTAAACTTTACTTGAAATGTAGTTTTGTTAATAATTTATTTTTGCAAGACTTAGTTGACAAAAAAGCTTTTATTTTCAATCATTTACAACTCGAAAATTATTGGTGCCTGGACATTTTTGCTGAGGAAAAATCGCCTGAAGAATTTCTCAAGAATTAACGAGTGGAACAGTAAGTCTGGGACACCCTGTATACACGATCGGCCTCTGTCGCAGCAGACGCGGTCTGGGTGACCGTAAGCCTGGCGATGATCGGGAAATTCGGCATCGCCGCGTCCTTCGCCGTCTTCTACGTCTTCGTCGGCGAGCTCCTGCCGACCGTGCTGAGGTCCCAGGCGATGGGCATAGCTTCCTTCATCGCCGGCATCGGCCTCCTCACCTTTCCCTACATCGTTCATCTCGCGGTCTACTCGAGAGTCCTACCCCTGATCGTGATGGGCTCGCTGAGCGTCGCCGGTGCCCTCACTTCCGTCTTTCTGCCGGAAACGCTCAACATCCACCTGCCGCAGACGATCGAGGAGGGCGAGCAGTTCGGGGCTGATTTCAAGCTGTGGTCCTGCCCGACGATACCAAAGTTAGTAATCCCAAGAACGTAAATGTTCAGGGGGAAAGATTTGCACGAAACAATTCATTAAACGCAATTAATAAAATTGCCCTACAAGTTTATTTCGTATTTATCAAGTTGATCATATAAATGGAAACTTCATTTTTTAAATATAATGATTTTAATTGAATATAATAAAATATAAATTAAATATAATTAAATATTGAATTAAATAGATGTGATAACTTTTAATAAATAATATGATTAATTTTTAATATAATCTTTCTGATACTTATTAACGAACTGAATTAATTGGTGTTTCAGAAAAGGTTCCAGCAAGTCCGAGACCGTGCCTTTGAGGTTTCTGGTGAACGGTGGACCGGGTAGTCGTTCATCTACCTCGAAGAACGCGTCGCAAGAAGTCGCGACTACATCGGAGGGCGAGAAGCCAGCTGCCATGCTGCCCTTGAAGGAAGAAGAGGCGAGGAACTTAAACGTGTCCAAGGGAGAGGAGCTGACGAACATCGAGACGGTTGTCGGGTCAAAGACGTGTTGCGCGATAGTGGAAGTGAACGTGTGCCGGAAGTCACAATGAACCGAGAGAGAGAGAGAGAGAAAAACAGTCTTATAAATTGATTCTCTTTACAAACGTGTTATATACAGTGGCGCCGACTTGGGGGGAGGAGAAATAATGTTTAACGATAAAAAACGCTCATTATGCTTATGGAATGCTCGTTAAGCATCATGTTGCGATTTCAGACACACCTTTGACCTATATTTTGACTTTCTACATATTTCTATCCCCCATCTCTCGATAATGTAAAGGCTATTTTAAAAAAAAAGTTATTTGAAATGCTTGTCTTTTGTCCCCTCCCAATATTTTTCTCAAGTTGCCGCCACTGGTTATATAATTATCAGTATAGACACACACACACACATTGTATTTATTTTTCCATTTATTTTATTATAATGTACTTCCTTTGTAAAACCTGCCCGAGTTTGTCGACAACACTGGTACGGCTGGATCCTTGTCTTTTTTTTGCAAGAGAGTGTGCTGTCGTAATGTATGCGTGCGCGTGATTGATATGCGTGTGAATTCAAGGATCAACGCCATGAGAACTTTAAACGCCTATACTTTTTTATGTTTTTGATTAGACGTGAATTTTGCATTTTGTCCTTACGTTATCGAACAAGTCTCGTTGTGATTTCAGTTAGTTTAAATAAAATATCTTAATACCTATATGGAAATTGACGAAATCGTCTGAAAAAGAACCTTGCCAATCCATGCATAATCCATATTTTACACACACATATAATTCAAATCCTGAAATAAAATACATTTACGTTGCATCGATTTGCAAGTAGAAAACTACGCAAGCGGTCAGACAGTCGCCAAGGAGAATCTAGCAGTCGCCTGTTTCTGTTTAAATGACATCTTAGGCAAGTCCGCGATATTCCCGTTTCTCGTCCTTAAAATTTCCGAGGATCGACTCCTACCTTACATTAAACAAATTGAATCCCGTGCAGTTACTTTATCCTAAGGTTTCACAATACTCGATATAAAATGCGTGAAATTGTTCACCTTCAAGCCGGTCAATGCGGCAATCAAATAGGTGCCAAGGTTAGTAATGAAAAAAATAAAACATGCAATAATGGCAATCACAATTTCAAAGATTTATTAAAATATTTATTGCATTTAGATATTTTTTGAATATTATTCAAATACTTATATTTCAAAATTTAGAATTAATTTTTAAAAAATATTGATATAGCGATTAAAACGAAATTTAATTAATTAAACATGCAATTTACTTAATTAAATACGCAATTATTTTATATTTTTAGAATTAATAACATTATTTAATTTATCATTTATATTACGTATATATTTTTCTCGACATTTAATTCCATTAGATCTGGCATTTAATTATTTCCAACGATTGATACAGTTTTGGGAGGTGATCTCAGACGAACACGGCATCGATCCCACAGGCACCTATCACGGGGATTCGGATCTTCAGCTGGAGCGAATCAATGTTTACTACAACGAAGCCTCCGGACCGAAATATGTGCCGCGCGCGATTCTGGTGGACCTTGAACCCGGCACGATGGACTCCGTACGATCGGGATCTTTCGGACAGATATTTCGACCAGACAACTTTGTATTCGGACAGTCAGGAGCCGGCAATAACTGGGCGAAAGGTCACTACACCGAGGGCGCCGAGCTGGTCGATTCGGTGCTCGACGTGGTGAGGAAGGAGGCCGAGAGCTGCGATTGTCTTCAGGGCTTTCAGCTGACGCACTCGTTGGGAGGTGGCACCGGCTCCGGAATGGGCACTCTGCTCATCACGAAGATCCGAGAGGAGTATCCGGACAGGATCATGAGCACCTTCTCCGTCGTACCCTCCCCAAAGGTCTCCGACACCGTCGTGGAACCCTACAACGCCACCCTGTCGGTTCACCAACTGGTGGAGAACACGGATCAAGCTTATTGCATCGACAACGAAGCGCTCTACGACATTTGCTTCCGTACTTTGAAGCTGACTACTCCCACGTACGGTGATCTGAATCATCTCGTCTCTGCTACCATGTCCGGTGTGACAACCTGTCTAAGGTCTGTTGTATAAAAGTCATGAATAAATATTTAAAAATCCAGTGCACTCGCGCGTGTCGATTTTAATATCATTCTTGCTGCATCCATACATGATAAATTAAAAATATATAAGCTATTTACTCTAAATAATCATAGATTTCCCGGTCAATTGAACGCCGATCTGAGGAAGCTCGCGGTGAATATGGTGCCGTTTCCTCGACTGCACTTCTTCATGCCGGGTTTCGCGCCTCTCACATCCCGAGGAAGCCAACAGTACCGAGCTCTCACCGTGCCGGAGCTCACCCAGCAGATGTTCGACGCGAAGAACATGATGGCAGCTTGCAATCCACGTCACGGACGTTACCTCACCGTGGCGGCCGTGTTCCGGGGCAGGATGTCGATGAAGGAGGTCGACGAGCAGATGCTCAACATCCAGAACAAGAACAGCCCGTACTTCGTCGAGTGGATACCGAACAACGTGAAGACGGCGGTGTGCGATATTCCGCCTCGTGGCCTCAAAATGTCTGCAACCTTCATCGGCAACTCCACGGCCATTCAGGAGCTGTTCAAGAGAATCTCCGAACAGTTCACGGCGATGTTCAGGAGGAAGGCTTTTCTTCACTGGTACACCGGCGAAGGTATGGACGAGTTGGAATTTAACGAGGCGGAATCGAACATGAATGACCTGGTATCGGAATATCAGCAGTATCAAGACGCGACAGTGTACGATGAAGAAATAGATGAGGAAGAAATGGAGAAGTAGAAGAGGAAGAAGAATTTGAACGATCGCTCATGCTTGCAAACTTTTGTGACGACTCTTTCTTTTGTATCTGTCATTTTTACCTTTTTTTTAATCGTTTTACAGTATTTTATATGCCGTTTATGTACACACATTTTGAGAAGATATCTCGATTTATACTGTTTTTGTGAAGTTTTTACAATAAATGATACGTAGGCAGAAACGTTGAATTGAAAGGTCTTTGGGTCGCGAATTAATTGACAACTTTTTCTGAGCACGCTATATTCCGATCGTTTAGGAAATCGCGCACGATTTACTTCTCGTGCTGCTTGACAGCGGTAGTATATCATCTCTATCAGTTAATGGCATCGTTCATTTAGCGTGATATAAATACACGCGTTTCTTAAATAAGACAAATACGCTCACGGGCGTTTAGAGACGTTTGGTTCTCGTTATCGAACTCGATATCATCCTTCCAGCCAACTGACATTGATGAGACCAAGGCCTTGGCAAAAATTGGCGATCGCGCATTATCTCATCGGTGCCCCGCGAGGGCAAACACTTTATTATCGCGTGCAATAACGGAGAACGCCTGTTATTGCGCGAGCTACTATGAAGCTGCGACAAGCAAAGATGCTGAACGAATCCAGTGACATATTCGCGCGTGTCGATTTCAATACGATTTCTGCTGCAACATCGATCTAATAATGCTTTCGCGAAAAATTGCTATCACAATAATAAAACGTTATAATCGCGTCAGATAATAAATATTATACAAGTGATTGTGGAATGTTTTTTACGGAGAAAAGATGAAGAAGCGTGAAATGATTGCGCGTTCTGTGACTAGAGGAAAAATTGTTTTGTACAACACAGATTGACATATCGCAACGAGATTTTATATGAAAAGTGAGCTATTATTACAAAAATTAAAATTATTTATGAAAAGCTATAAAAGTAATAATGTCATTAAAAAAGATGAATCTACTAATATATAAGCTTTATCTTCAGAGATAGAATATTGCCCTCGGCATTCATTAATAACAATTAGAAGAGTATGAAATAACATTTTGTATTTAAAAAATTTTTATATGATATAAATGACGAGATATATAAAATAAGAAGATATTTGGAAATTTCGAGATATACGATTTTTAACTTTTCTTTTTAGGAAGCGGACGAGAAGTTCTTACGAAATAAGTTCCAAGGGCAAAACGTGGATTTGATTCCGGATAATATTAAAACTACATGCGACATAGAAATGCCTAATAGGGAAATATCTGCTACTTTACTGTCAAATACAACTGCGATTCAGTAGGTGTTTACGACGCTGCTCAATGATTTCTAAATAAATTTTAGAAGTAGAAGGTATCTTCACTATTACACTTCCGAAGGAATGGAGATATCTGAATTCGAGAGGGCTCAACAAACTTTGGAATCCCTTATTTCTGATTATCAACTTTATCAAAACCTATAAACGGACCTTCAATGAAGAATTTATATCGCATCTTGGAGACTGAAATTTATTTCAAATATATAAATAAATTAGCAAAGAAAACTGCATAAATTAAAAAAGCTATTATTTTTAAATTAAAGAATTTGTTGAGAATCTATATAGAGAAAAATTGAAATTCCATTATTTCAACATTATCAATTATGATAACAGCGTAATTATTTAAGGATTTTTATTACAATCCAATCCATGTTACATTTATATCCAAGCAACATATTAATATCTTTATAATTATCACTAATAAAGCTGAATATAATATAGGCGTATCAAAAATGATATAATTATATTATATTAATGATATAATTATATTACAGTTTAAATAATTATTTTTCAATTTATTATTCATCGCAATTATATCATTTGCCTTCAAAAATACACGTCCTCGTAACACGTATAAATATATATACCACATTGGTATATATTCATAAATATCTCAATATCACAATCCCGTATAAAATCGCCTATATTACATTCGCCTCGTCGATTACAGAACGTATTATATAAAAAAATATCAAAAGGCGGCTTCTCGCGAGCGCACAGTCGGTCGTTCCGCGAGCTCCTACGATGGACGAGGACACAGGTAGAAAAGCTGAAGACAGAACCAGAAGAAAGTAGCAGCATCGCGTTGCTCTTCAGTTTTCCTGCTCGCAAGTTTCAAAGTCATCTGCGCACTCTTCCGCCTCGAAGTCCTCCTCCGCCGTGGCTTCCTGGTACTGCTGGTATTCGGATACCAAATCATTCATGTTGGATTCGGCCTCGGTGAACTCCATCTCGTCCATGCCCTCGCCGGTGTACCAGTGCAGGAAAGCCTTCCTCCTGAACATCGCCGTGAACTGTTCCGAGATCCTCTTGAACAGCTCCTGAATAGCGGTGGTGTTGCCGATGAAGGTCGACGACATCTTCAGACCCTTCGGCGGGATGTCGCAGACGGCGGTCTTCACGTTGTTCGGTATCCACTCGACGAAGTACGAGCTGTTTTTGTTCTGTACACTGAGCATCTGCTCGTCGACCTCCTTCATCGACATCCTGCCGCGAAAGACGGCCGCCACGGTGAGGTATCTGCCGTGGCGAGGATCGCAGGCCGCCATCATGTTCTTCGCGTCGAACATCTGCTGGGTGAGCTCCGGCACGGAGAGCGCGGAGTATTGCTGCATGGACCTGGACGTCAGAGGCGCGAAACCCGGCATGAAGAAGTGCAGACGCGGGAAAGGCACCATGTTCACCGCGAGCTTCCGAAGGTCGGCGTTCAACTGGCCGGGGAACCTGAAGAAAATCGATCGATGTTATACGCTATTTTGTATGGGTTGTGATATTGAAATATTTAGGAATATACAGGATGTTGCAGAATTGGTGGAAAAGTTTTTAATGGCAGATTCCTGGTATCATTTGGAGATGATTTTTCCTCAGTGAAATGTCAAGACGCCAATAATTTTCGAATTATAAGCAGTGAATATAAAGGCTTTTTTGCAAACTTGTGGAAATAAAATATTAACAGAATTATTATTCTTCAGTTAATTTTAGGTAGAGTTTGCCTTAGTAGAATTTTAATATAAGACTTAGTTATAAAGATACATAATAACAAAAATTGCTAAAAATGATGGTCTCCCTCAACATTTTCACTAAAGAAAAATCGTCTCCAAATGATACCAGGAATCTTTTCCGCCAGTTCTGAAACACCCTGAGAACGAGTATTTTTGAAGGCAAATGATATAATTGCAATGAATAATAAATTTAAAAGTAATCAATCCTTGCTATTCAGGGTGGATTTTTCTCTTCGAATTTGATTTGCATACCTGAGGCAAGTCGTTACTCCGGACATGGTGAGCGAGACCAGGTGATTGAGGTCGTTGTAACTCGGATTGGAAACCTTGAGAGTGCGGAAACAGATATCGTATAGAGCCTCGTTGTCGATGCAATAGGTCTCGTCGGTGTTCTCCACCAATTGATGCACCGACAGGGTCGCGTTATACGGTTCGACCACGGTGTCGGACACTTTGGGCGACGGCATCACCGAATAAGTGTTCATAATCCGGTCGGGATACTCCTCGCGGATCTTGGAGATCAGCAGGGTGCCCATTCCGGACCCGGTGCCGCCTCCCAGCGAGTGAGTGAGCTGAAAACCTTGAAGGCAATCGCAGTTCTCGCACTCTTTTCGCACCACGTCGAGGACAGAGTCGACCAGCTCGGCGCCCTCGGTGTAGTGGCCCTTCGCCCAATTGTTACCGGCACCGGATTGCCCAAACACGAAGTTGTCCGGTCTAAAGAGCTTCCCGTAAGCACCGGAACGTACAGCATCCATCGTCCCCGGCTCCAGATCCAGCAGGATCGCGCGAGGTACGTATTTCCCTCCGTTCGTTGATGTCGCAACTGAGATGAGAAAAATTAAATATCGAATTTATTCATTAATTTAATTAATTTGCTTATTAAAATATTATGAAAAATACAAGAAACCAAAAAATGTGTAAAATAAAAACAGGATGACAATGTTCTATATAATTAATATTTTCTAGGAAAAATCTTTAAATTTTTCCAATTATTGAATATACATAAAATAAAAAATCAAAATAATTAATTATTTAATTAAATTAATTTGCTTATTGAAATATTATAAAAAATACAAAAAATTGACAAATGTTTAAAATAAAAACGGGATGACAATATTCTATATAATGCTTTCTAGAAAAAATCTCTACATTTTTTCGATTATCGAATACATAAATATTGAGGATACCTAAGTGGAGACGTATGACGCATAAAATATCAATGATTGTATTCAATAGGCGTATGACTCGTGAGTGATACAAGACGTCAAAGAGATCATATTAATTAGTCGCTATTGTCATTCTACCAAAAACTCGTAACGACTATAGAGGTCGACGGAAATGCGTGCCTGTATCGTTTGCAAATGAGTAGCTATTGAGATATGCCGTCAAAAGAATATGAAGATCCGCATTTAATTAATATCACAGTAAAAAAAATATTCCAATTTTCAAAAATAAATGCTAAAAATATGGAAAAAATGAGAAAAAAATTTATAAGAATTAAAAATAAAAGTTTTTCCATGTGTGGGATGTTCGAATCTATTTCTGTCGTATAATTTGCCCCGCTGATGTGTATATATGTTTCATGTTAATTGAGCTGTTTTAAACGTGTGAAAGCACGTACCGCGCGATACGTTCTTGGAAATAATTTCATTTCGCGGCGCGAACAAATGCATGAGAAGTCCTGAAATCGTGTTGCAGCCGCAATCTATAGCCCTAAGTCCCCGACCACACAAAGTGGCTATTTTCAGCGTAAACGTGCGTGTCTCGACGCTCCTCTTCATCCATCGGCGCGGGACACACTCGCTTTTCTACCTTTCTCGTTATTGCTATTTTTGACACGAGGACAGAATCCGCGCAGAGATGAGAAAGAGAGAGAAATCATCTCCATTGGAATGATCTCTTCCATGGATCGAGAAGTCTGTGAATATGATCTCTTTGTACTTGCATAATACCACTTTGCTACATACAATTGAATTATATACATATTTAATTATTTATACAGATAATTTTAACAAAATTATATTTAAAAAATTTAATTTAATTGTAATTAACCAGCTAGTTTTTATTTTATTGTATTCTTGATATTTTTAGACTAATCGCATCTTATTTGTACTTCTTCACTGACAAGCCAGGTACATCAAATAATTCGATTTCGATTAAGTATCATGTATGTCATGTATGGATGTATGTATATATGAGATACATAAAAGATTATATATATATATATATATCTCGTTTTTACAGATATCTTTTTTTATCACTTTCTTGTTTTTATTCTATTCTATTTTTGTTGATTCTATTCTATGATGTTTCTAGATTATCTTTATAATCCTTTCACCGAGAAACCAGGTGTGTCCAGTAACCCGATTTCCATTAAGTATAAGTGTGTACACATAAGATACTCAAGAATGCGATATAAATATAATTCTATATACCGTATGAAATGGATATTTGCTACATAAAAAAAGCTATTCATTAAATCCTTAATTAAACCAGAATTATATAAAAATGAATTAAATTATACTTGTATATATACATATAAAACAAAATATAATAATAAAAATTAAAACAAAATATTGATAATAAATTATACATAATTGTTTAAAAATATAATTTTCTTAAAAAATTGGAAATGTGCTTAATTATAAATATAAAAAAATCATTTTACAGTAATAACAATATTTCGTTAAATTGCGAGAGGGGAGAGAAAATTCTCCAATATATTGAATTGTGCGTTTAAAAATAAACAAAGTAAAATACGTAATGTTTAACACGTCCTTACCAGATGCCTCATTATAGTATACGGAGATTCGTTCGAGTTGCAAATCGCTTTCCCCGTGATAAATACCCGACTGGTCGATTCCGTGCTCCTCAGAGATGACTTCCCAGAACTGCAACGTGATTCGTTCGTTTACATTATTATCATTTATTAGTGTGAGTCAATTGCTGAAACAGCCTACTTATTTCCGAGAATATAATTAGTACCAGAAAAACCAGAAAAAGTAGTTCAGGGTAGAAATATCTAAAAGGAGAAAGGGAGAGTATCTTCCTGCTAACGAAAATAATACGTGTATCTGATTGTGAAAATCGAATTGATTTTCGCTCTGACGAGAGATTGCATTTTTATTAATTAATTAATTATTTTTTAGATTTTGAATGACAGAAAAAAATTTAAATACATATACAGATTGTGACAGTGATCATCCTCCTGTAATTTCCTAAAAAAAAAAATTCGTTCCGAGGTTTTTATTCTACGCTGTGCTTCTCGCTAAACTCTCGGAGCCACTCGACGTGTCGAATGAAGAGCGGCTTCCCATCGAGCACATTTACCCCAAAGTTCCCGGGCAACGATGTGACAGAGGGGAAAAAGAGGGGACGGATAACACGCGCGACATCCAAAAATAGGGAGGCACGGAATTAACGCGGCCTACGGCCCCTCTCTGGCTCATGTCCACCCTCCGGGTTAAAACATTTCTTCTCTCTCCCCATTTGTCTTGTCTTTACTATTTTCTCTTCCTATTAATAGCGAACCGAGTGGTCGTAGCTACCGCTTCAACGAAATCTGTCCCTCTGATTATTCTAACTGCATCCTGGTGCATCTTCGCTGCGCTCATTACACTGTAAAAAAATTTTGTAAAATTACATTAAAAATATGTAAAATTACATAAATAATAAATGTAAAATTACATGATAAATAATGAAAAGGTAATCATTTCTATTATTTATCGTGTAATTTTACACTTATTATTTATGTAATTTTACATATTTTTGTGTAATATATTACATATTTTTTTACAGTGTATCGTGCAGAATAAAATTCATCTATATTTCTTAATTTTTTTCACGCGCAAACAGCTATGTTTAAAGTAGAATATTTTTATCATTATCGAGAGATTATTTTATGGATCTGTATTTTAGAAGAAATATATTGCAATACATGTATTTTTTTAAGTCCAAAATATATAAAGAAATTATATTTAAAAATATAATCTTGTTTAGATCGTAAATACGTTCCGTAATCTTACAGAAGCTTCATTCTTGCTTCCTGCAATCGTTAAAATCTTTCAAGCGGAAAACAATGCCGCGGAAGCGATAGTGGATCACATCTAGAACGAAGTGAAGGGACGATACTCTCTTCAAGATCGTTCGAGCGCTGCACTTGCTAACGAAAATAATACGTATCTGATTGTGAAAATCGAATTGATTTTCGCTCTGACGAGAGATTGCACTTTTCTAATATTGCATTTTTATTTATTAATTAATTATTTTTCAAATTTTGAATGGCAGAAAAAAATTTAAATACATATATACAGATTGTGACAGTGATCATTATTTGTAATTCGTAAAAGCATAATTAATACATAAATATATTTTCTAATATGTTTTTTAATTAATCAGTGAATGCATTGTTTTTTTTATTACTTCAGTATAACATTTGATTATATTACTCTTTATTTGTGTTGCATTGGAAAACTCTGTACATATTTACTATGTTACTGATAAAAATATTTCTCCTGATAAAAATGACTCATTGAGTCCTTCATATCTTCCGGTTCATGGTATCACGTGCGTCATTGCATGATAAGCATTGGGTAAAAATTTCCTAATTCATAAGAAAGTTACACGAAAATTGGATAAGGTATTGAAGATAAACGGTGATAAAGCGTCAAGTTTACTTTAGTTAAGTGCAGTTAAATCTTTATGACAGCTCTTTCACATAAAACTGCCTGTCAATTTTTTCAATATTGATTATTAAATTTATTTATTAATATATCTATATATATAAATGATAAACAATACTACAAAAATATATGAATTCGAAGTAATCCAAAATAATGAACCGAATGGGCACATAATTGGAGTATAAATTAATAATAAATTAATAATGTACAAGCTAACTGATCTTTTATGTAAAAAATTTATTTTTTTAATATTGCGCAAGAACTGATGTAATTAAATCTCGAATATCATGAATCTCCATATTGTCACGCCTATGAACACGATCGATATAAGACTAATGAATCTGAAGTGCTTCTTTCGCAAATAACACTTTACAATGTTTCCAATAACGTGTCTCACTCAAAATCAAACAAGAGCAATAAGAATTTACATTAACAATCATTTACAATCATACACAGAAATATATGTATATGCATATGTATATAAGATTCAATTACATGCAATTTATTTTTTAATAGTGTGTAATAAAAGCAACTTTTTATTTTATCAATATTTTACGTCGAGAGACTGATTTACTTGATTTTTTCAAACAACTGGTTTATTTATTTTATTTCAAAAGATTCCAATCTCCCGACTCCACTCATTTTCACGCCAATGGATAATGGAGACGATTACTGCAGAATTTTAAGTGCTCTTTTAAGTACACGTTAAGTATGGTCTCGTTTCCTGCCCCCCTCTTTAAGTTAGCCAGCACGATTAAAACTTGGGTCACTTTACGCACTTTAGGCTTCACCAGATAGAAGGGAGAATAGCACGAGATGAGCATAGCTCTTTAAATTCCACATCGTCGTGTGCCGTCTTATCTTCGACTCATTTATAGCCGCAGTCAAATGATATCACTGCGAAAGATTGTACAATTTTTTTGAAACAATATTTGTGTTTTTACTGTGATGATTTATTTCGCCGAGTTTGTTGATTATGACAAGAAAGACAGACTAAAGAAATTTACACAAAATTTCAAGACAGTTTCGAGTTCTCAAAATTATATTTTCATTCTTGCTAATCGTCAGTTTCAGATTGACGATTCAGATAAATATTCACATCATAATTATCGTGTTATTTTGGTAATTAAAATAATATTACGTATTCAAAAAAAATTAACACATTTTGACGGACTGACTAATTCCTTGAAAATAACGAGAAAGTAAGAAGAAAAAATGTGAAAAGCACATAGTTCTTCTGTTAATCATGGTAAAAATGCCCCGAACGAAATAGGATCGATATTTCGAAGACAGTGAGTCACAATGTCTGGCTTGTTCGAGGTTTAATTGACTGTCTGTCGTCTCTGCACGCGACATAAGCCAGGTTTACGATTAATTTCCGGCGCCGCATATCTTCGCAAACGAATAAATTATTCGTGCCCTATCGTAATGCACTTCTGCGACTCTCCACACTCTGTTAAATATATTTGAATATATCGCGATTTTCTTCTAATTTTCGATATTCAAATTTAATTTTTTTATCCGTACTTTCCTTCAAAATTATTATATGTCAATTAATCAACGTTTTCCTGATAAATACTTTTTTAAGCTAGTTCGACCATAGAATTGAAGAAGAATAATTTAGAAGAACAATTTAAAAAATCTACCAAGACATCTCGTGATCTTACTTATGTACAAATAATTTTTATAATAATTTAGTAACATGGATAAATATATTTGAATATATCGCGATTTTCTTCTAATTTTTAATATTCAAATTTAATTTTTTTATCCGTACTTTCCTTCAAAATTATTATATGTCAATTAATCAACGTTTTCATGATAAATACTTTTTTAAGCTAGTTCGACCATAGAATTGAAGAAGAATAATTTAAAAGAACAATTTAAAAAATCTGCCAAGACATCTCGTGATCCTACTTATGTACAAATAATTTTTATAATAATTTAGTAACATGGATAAATATATTTGAATATATCGCGATTTTCTTCTAATTTTTAATATTAAAATTTAATTTTTTTATCCGTACTTTCCTTCAAAATTATTATATGTCAATTAATCAACGTTTTCATGATAAATACTTTTTTAAGCTAGTTCGACCATAGAATTGAAGAAGAATAATTTAGAAGAACAATTTAAAAAATCTACCAAGAGACATCTCGTGATATCCTACTGATGTACGAATAATTTTTATAATAATTTAGTAACACGGAACACAGATTAGAAAATCAATCAATTTGTTAATTAAAATGCGCATGCAACAATTTGACTTCCTCATTTTAAATTCTCGCTCGAAAGAGTCTGGAAGAAAAGATGCACATTTCTTCTCGGGATTAAAGGTCGACCTACCTTAGCTCCGATCTGGTTGCCGCATTGTCCAGCCTGCAGATGCACGATTTCCCTCATCCTGTCTTTCCTTTCAGCGCGAAGAAACGGCGAAAACAGCTGATCTCTCTCTTCTCCCGATACTGCGTGCTCGACGCGTTGAAACGGAATGCGTAGCGTGTGCAGCTGAGTGCAACCGAGGCGAGGTGTGCAACCGGCCGTCGCGAGTCGGGCCTGCGAATGGATGACGAGCCGGACGAGGGAAACGCACTCGTGTCGGCCTCCTGAGCTCCGCTCTCCCGAAGCGGAGCTACGACGATGATGGGGTTAAGACCGAAGCGGGGAGAGGAATCCCGTGAGAGAGAGAGAAGGAAAGTAGAACAAAAGATGAAAGGAGCGAGACGGAAAGAGAAGGGGAGGAAAAACAGGGGATGTGAACAGAAGAGGGGTGTGTAAACCCTCGGCGGTACGCAAATCCCAGAGTACGCTCTTCCAGTTTGTCTCTCTTCTCTTTCACTCTATGTGTTCGCGAACATTTTTTTCTGATCATTAAAACGAGTGTAATTATTTTTTTTTTTTTTGCTTGTCCCTTAGAGGAAACTTTGATTTTGTAAAAATAATTTTTTTTTTTTACATTTCTATGTAGATGTGTTTAGAATGTTCCAAAACATATCAAAAAATCACACGTATAGATATTTTTTAACAAGTAAGTGTGTGTTTGAGCTACAGTGTTCCAATTTGGCGTTCGAGTAAAGTAGTACACAATACATTTATTTACTGTTATTTTTATATCAATATTCATACGGTATTTTAAATGTTAATGCAATTTTAATTTTTCAAAAAATTCTTATGATTGCTTTAGCTTCCGTATAATTTAGGAAAGATAGAAAGAAACTAGAATGGATTTTTTTTACATGAATAGATTGTTATTAAAGGATGCTTGGCATCGAATTTAAGGATTGATGAAATGCTTCATTTTTTATAAAATTTTGAATTTTTTGAAAATGTCTGTGACGCTTTAATTTCTATAAATTTTGACATGTCGTGGTAAACTTTTTTACATGAATAAAGTATCGTGAAAAAATAGTTGGGATTGAGTTTAGCGAGGATCGGTGAAAGAATTCATTTTTTATGAAATTTTGAATTTTTCAAAAAAGTGTAAATTTTCGAATTTTACGAAAGAAACATACATAATACATAAATATACATTACAAAAAAAATGTTATTTTATATGAAAAGTGTTCAAATTGGAAACTTGCACATTATACTTCCTCACCATTCTATCTCGCTCATTATTAAGCTTCCTCTATGAGGAAGCCAAAATTGAGAAACTAGTTTGCTAATAGAGGAAGCTTAATGAGCGAAATAGAATGGCGAGGAAGCATCGTGCAAGTTTCCAATTTGCACACTTTTTTTCTTCATCCTCTTGGAGCGCGAAATCGATTCTTCGAATAATATAATGCGAATTAATTATACGATTATGTCGCGACTTGATTACCGGAAGCTGCAAATTATACATATATGGGTTTGCTCCAGTGTGGAATATTATTGAATGCGACGGTATTATATTTATTCTTTATATCGAATTACCTCGGAGCTTATTCACCGGAACTGTAACAGGAGATAGGATTTTTTTTTTGAAAGTACGTACTTCCTCCTGTAGTGAATATACAGGCGAAGGTATCACGTTTAACGGGAAGCGTTTCGGTCATATGAATTCTGGGGCAACGCTTGCATGCTGTTAATACCTGGGAATTATGATCGACGTCGAGATGTATTCAAAAACCGTCAGGATGTAATAAATATCACAGATTAATATTCTTTTAATTATATTAATTTTCTACAACTTTGTCGTTGCCTAAACTTCATCAGACAAAAATTAAAGATACCTTTCTCTGCAGTTTATCGAAAAAAAGATTAATATAAAACTTATATAAATCTACGTTAAAAATTATACATACAATAATTTATCTTATCTATAAATAAATTTCTTTCAAAACGTTCTTCTTTTTGCACGAGTCGGAGTAAAAGTTTTACGTCATTTTCTAAATATAGTAATTAACAGGGAGTAATTAAACGCGCGCGGGAAAGTCTATAAATGTTTCACATAATCCATTGTCTCAACACTTCACCCAATAGTTGGGTACCAACTTTTACCAATCGTTTCAAGTTACAGCGCATAATTATCCGTAACGAAACACATGCAGTCATATGGTTGCATGCCACGAATTCTTTAGACAGGATGTCGCTCTTCGAAGGAAAAAAAAATGTCGAAAGTGCACGAACGAAGCAAGATGCTGGAAGTCTCTATCCTGTGAATCACTCTCTTAAAGCGACTCATCTCCGCGCGACTTTCCGCCGTCCTCGTCGAAAACGAGATAATAATCGAGACGATAGTCGCGCATCCCGTCTCCAGCTGCGCGACGCGCTCCTTCACGGTCTCCCGCTGTTGTAAAAAGCTTTCGTCTATTATTCTAACATCTTTTCTCGCTTCCCGTTAACATCCGCGTCATTGACACGGTGACACGCGATCATCGTGTGCATTCGAAAAGAGAGGAGGCCCGATAAATGCCGGTTTTTGCCAAACAGAACAACGCGCGATTTGCGATCGACTTTTCCCTCTCGTTCTCTTTGTGTCTGACAGATAATTAAATAAAAATTAACTTATCTACCAGATACATTAATTATTTTCATTTTTAGGGAAGTATTGAATTTTCTCTATCGTCCTAGTTAATAGAACCGCGTTAATGAGTTTTTTTCCCCAAGTATGTGGAAGTAACTGTGTGTCTGATAACAATAATTATGAATTATACCGTTATTCTATTTAATTTTAACCCGCATGTGCGTACAATTTTTATTATGCACCAAAAGATAAACCTGCACTTGTCCGAGTGCATTTTTATTTAACGTGAAAATCTTGGAAATAGAACTACTTATTCGGAAGAACGGAGAATCTTATGAAATTAAATTAATAAATATGAAAGGAGAGTCGGTATTTGGCACGCTAGGCAGAAAATGTTGCTTATCTCTCGTTTCTTTTTTTCTTTCAATGAGCCAAGTATGTAGGACGTGCACACTTTATCGTTTGCGTGCGGCGCCTGGGGAATGGATCGAATTCGCAAGACGAGACGGTCAACACGCAGCGGGTACGATGAGTCATGTTTTTTCTACTAAGGTCAATGTCTGCCTTTTATCAAGGCGAGCGACCAAAATCATCGTCTGGCAATTTCAATAATTTATATATAATAAACATATATAAATTTCTTTATATAATTAATATTTTCTAATAATTCATCAAAATATTTATATGTCAACAATAATAATAAAAGTAATTGTACATTTTGCGTTAAAAAAAATTGTTATATATATCTAATTTTATTTATATATAATTATATTTTTATATAAATTAATTATCTTAATGTCGCGACGTGCAAATGAAAAATCGTCAAATTAATCGTAAAATAATCAAAGTACTTTAGGAATCTCCGAGGATCGTCATCGTTCGTGAGAAAAAAGTATTATGCGGATCAAAGGTTAATTGCGCGAAATTAGGGGGACAAGATAAAGCGATAATCTCAGAGGAAAAAAGGAGAAAGAAGACGTTTGTTATTAAGCGGAAGTGCGGGGTCACACGCGGGCTACTATTATTTCCGGCTCCGCGTTTCTTGCGTGTCGACCGGTCGGCTAGTTTTTTTTTTTTCGTTCCCAACAACGAAACAATAATGTGCGCTCGACTTCTATTCGTCTCTTCGTTTGAAGCGCATGACGATTCGGCGCGAGACCGAAATCTCGCGTCCGGCCGATCATTAATTCCGTCGGTTTAACTGTACTCGGTTAATCCGTTAGCTAGCTAGTCCGAGCTATGCGCTCAACATTCATAACCGTGCCGCATTGTATATTACGTTATTATGATGACGTTATGATGCAAAGTGCATATCGCAAAGAGAAAGCGGTCATCTCCTCAATTTAAATCCCGTATTTAAGACGCCTCTATAGTGTATCGAGAAAATGTCATCCTGTGGAAATCAGTATTTATATGCAAAATTTATTAAATAATTATGTACATACATGTGTGTGTATATAGCTATATATATATATATATGTATATGTATATGTATATATATACATACACACACTTTTGAGTTGAAAAAATAAAGATTTTTGTTTGACAGGCACAAATTGTCTATGTACATCTATATGTACATGTAATATATTACAAAGATTATAAAGTCCGTTGGCTTTTAACGACACTAATCAGAATCAGATTCACTGGAATCACTTTCACTGTCATCTGGTTTCTGATTATTCTGATACCTATTCAAATTTACAAAGAGCTCCTCATCGTTACACGTAGTATGGTTCATTGCTATCGACTGTCCGTTTCTCTTTGGATCTTCATCGAATTCCGATGGCCAACAGGTCTGTGCTTTATACCATTTTATGTGATCCTGAAAACGTATTATTAATAACATTAGATATTATTAATAAAAATGAAATAGTATTGTTTTCAATATATTGCAACAGAATTTTAATTCGACTTTTTAAATTATTTCTCATAATAGATATTTAAGTCAGAAATTTTTGCATAAAATGATAGAAAAAATTATGAAAAATAATATGATTTAATAGCTATAAAAGGAATTAATTACCTTTGTGAGTATCTTGACAATTTCGCCCTTAACTTTTTTACCTTCCTGGATTGGCTCGATAACAATATAGTCACCTCTCTTTACCCAGATATTCTGCCTGAATTTAGTAGGCATCGAAACAATGAATTGCTCCCCGGAGGGAGTGACGACTTCGTGAAGATTATGGCCTCGGGCTTGAACAATTTGTACGATGCTTTGCGAATCCGTGGGAAGACTCATATCGTCGAGTTCTTGAATGACGTATTTACGTTTCGTTATTATAGAAGACATTGTGCTCTGTAAAATTAAATAAAAAAAATACCGTAATTTTTATTCCCCGTTTTCCTTTTCCTTCATTAATTTTTTCTGACTTAAACTATAGTTTTGAAAAATTGCGATAAAAAAATTAATTTTGCAATTTTCGTAATTTTAATTTAATTAGCTTTATAAGATTGCGGCGATTTTTGGACGGTAGAATTCTCCGCCGACTTAAGTTTGCGATTTTTCGCGTCGTTCCATGAACCTAACGAGCCACTAGATTTTTCCAAGGCGGCCCACACGTCTAAAGTCTCGCCTGGCGATACTTCATATCCGTTTTGCAGGCCGTGAGGATTCGAAGGGGTCTTGCAATCGTGCGCGGACTCTTTGCGAAGAACGGTATCGACTTCCACGGCGGTAAAGAACGCCACCGACATAGGCAGATCCCTCATGCCTAGACGAGAGGCGCAGAACGATCTCGTCATCAAGTTGGTCACGTGCATCGCCAGGGCAGCGTTGTACTTGTACCTAGCCGGGACGAGATATCTCACTTCGTCGTGAAACGACAAACAGAATCTCGCGTTGTCTCTCATCAACCATCTCATGCAGACCAGCATCAAGTGAAGAAAGTCCACCGCGCCGCTCTGCACCACCCAGTTGATCTTGGTGGGCAGGAACTTGTCGTCGTTATCGGTATTGGTGAGCTCTAGGGCGCGACTCAATCTGGCGTTGAGAAACGGCGTGACCGGATATTTGTGGCCAGCAATCTGCTCCAGCCGGTTGAACATGGCCGATTCCGAGCCGTCTATCCATTCGTATTTCTGGAACATGTCTTGCAACGTTTTACCGTGCAACTTCGCCATTTGATATGCCTCATAGGATGTGTAAGACTTGTCTTCCAGGTCGTTATTGACAAATTCAGCTTTCAGCTGAAACACCTTCTTACCCTTGGTCAAGGTGAACATCTTGCGCGACTTGGAAGCGGCTTCGGCATCGGTCATGGATGGATTGAACTGCTTCAGCAATCGCTCGGCAAACTTCTGACCGGCGCCGTAGATCCGCGCGTAGTTGATGACCTTGGCGTGGTCGCGCGAGATACCGATAGCCTTGGCGGTGACGCTGTGCATGTCCGTGCCGTTGGATTTAGTGCCGATTAGAGTCATCCAGCCAAAAGGCGTGGCCCCGTGAATACTTTTGTAGTGCGCGTCTCCGATAATGGAAGCGATCCACAACTCTTGACTGTCTACGTCGGCGCCAACGATGTTGTATCCTGGCGGCGCTTGAACCATGCATCTCAACTCGGAACCGATTCGTTCGACATGCGCATTCGACGCTGTCATCCACGTGGGTTCCACGGCACGTCGCGTTAAAGTTCCGGAAACGACTACTTGAGGTATTATGGCGCCGTAACGCGTATGTCTTTTGGTCTTCTTGACGTTGCTGGGCAGAGAATGATCGTCCAACCATATCACTAGCTGCGACATGATCCTGTCGCGATTGTTCCGCCAGTAGGACAACATGCGGGCGATCTTCAGTACTTCCGCGGCGCTGACGTCCAAACCGGCGAGTACATTCTCGGAAAATTTATTGAGAAAGTCCTTGGCGAGCGGGTTACCGACGTTGTTACTGGCACCGTCTTTGTGCGGTAGCTTGAAGAAGTAGCAACAGTCGTCAATGACGATGTTGCACCACACGCCGGTGCCCTTGTATATCTTATTGTCCGGCCCGTCCTGCTTCTTCTTAAACCGCCAGAATTCCGTCTTGTGAAGATCGTTCTGTACATCGGTGCTCAAGGTAGACATCGCGTCTCCGGATGTGTCCCTAGAGCTGTTGGATGTTGGCAATGGGCAGTGTCCTAAAAGATTTTTCAGCGGTAGTTTAGTCTCAATGTCGGAATCGTCGTTGAAAGGCACCAGAATTCCCCAACCATGATCTCTTATGTAATGCAATGGATACTTTTCCCATGTCAGATTTAACAGTTTTGGAACTACTTGCATGGACGTGCTGATGTTTTGAGGACCCGGCATCCAATTTTCGTCGCTTGGTTTAGGACAGAGTTTTCTATACCAGGCTGGATATCCTGGCATATGGGGCATTCTAACAGGTAACAAGTGCCTAGTCTCCTCCAAATAAGCAAACTCCTTCGCCAGAGAATCCTCTTCATCTTCTTCGTCATCCGATAAATATCTCTTATTGTCTGATTGCTCTTTCTTGTCTAACTCTTCTCTTATATTTTCTACATTGGCAAGTTTTGCTCTTGATGAGGACACTTTATTCTTTATCTTAATTTCCTGTGTACTCCAATCTTGATCCCACATCCACAAATCTTCTTTATATCTTTCCTCGTGCATGAGGTGGCAAACGGCGTCGGCTCTCTTAGCGAGAGTGAACTTGGCTTCGTAATTTAAATCGTCAAAAGTGGATTCTGATTCCTCCAAGTATCGCTGCCAATTAGAATTCACCGGTAAGTATGCGGAGCCGAGTTCTAACATTCCAGCTAGAGTAACAGGATGAGGAAACCTCTCCTGAAAAAGCGGAAATAAATTGCGTAGAACATTGTGAGTGGCGACAGCGTCACTGGCACAGTAAGTCATCAACATATCAAAATTATTTTTAACATCTTCGATAGTACCTTCAACAAATATGTCTCTCGATTCCTTACTTATCTCATAGCCACAATAGAGCTTATGCACTTCTAACAAGCTGTTCAGCGATGTGTTGGATTGCCAGCTATCCTTCTCCGAATCCGTTTTCTTAGATAATAACAACGATCTCTGGTAGCTATTAAGACCACTAACACATATATGTAACGACATAGTATCGAGAAAACGACTTCCAGTACAATTCATCCAATATTGCTCTTTAATTCTGCTTCTGTCAAATGAAACATTGTGACCTACTATGATCTTTGGCTTCTTCTGGTGTTGATTCAATTTGTATCCATACTCGTCTTTATTACTTTCCATAGGAATAAGCAGACTAGGTGTACACAACTGTGTGTCAAACATCTGACCGATACCCTGCGCCAAAGAATTTGATACCCAACTGTACCAAGCTTTATTACTGACTGCAGTGGCGAGAGTAGGCAAAGGACCCTGCTTCATGCAAACTTCAATATCGAAAACTACTCCATCTTCCAACGGATAATCTACACTTTCCACCCTACCATCTGCTGTATATCTGGTCCAGCCTTCTTTGAAAAGCCACTGTTTCGGCATCTCTGGAATATCCTTTATAATTTCATTTATGATCTTCAGGTATGGCTTAACTTGTGCTCTTCCAATGTTGTAAAAATGTTCCTCTATATCTTTCCCTTCCAAAATTGGTAACTTCAAGTTTACATCGGATAACCTGGTTGCGTCTTCCACATTTATGCCATATGTGCTTAAATTTTTCTTGATGCTGTTGATTTCCTCTTCAGGGAGACGTTCTTGCTTATTATCCTTCCCGAACAATTGTTCATGCAATAATTTGGGCAGCATTTGCATATTAACTTCATTAACTCTAGCAGTATCCTTTCTCAAATTAATACCAACATTTGTATTATTTTTCGGAGATTCTTTTGATTTCTGAGAATTATTGTGAGATAACAATTGTTGATGCAACAATTCAGTCGATTGCGTCTGCATTTCTACATTTATTCTTTCGACCACTTTCAGTTCTTCCGAAACCTGCACATTATTACCCGATTTGTTCAACATGACTTCGAATTTGGCGAATTTGCAGAAACCCGCCTCGAAATTGTCGGGTATCGCAGGCGAATTATAAATAGAGTTCGATGCGGATTGTCCGGCATTTTTCGAGGTTGGAGCTTCCTCTCGGTGGACTTTCGCATCTTGCGCAGTCTTTAGACGAACCTTCTTCCACTGACTCTTCTTGGAAATTCCATCCTGCACGTTCGTGCATTTGTGCCGAATGCAGATATTAATCAAACAAATCTTCGATCGCATTTTTTATCGTGTATCGCACATTTCCTCCCTCGAATACCTCAACGGCTGACGAAACGAAACACGTGTTTCAGTGATCTTATCGAAATCGCACGTGTTATGTGAAGCGATGTCTTATTGACGATTTTAATAAAAAGAAAAAAAACGAAGTCTTACCTGATGACGTTAGACGAAGCAATTCTGTTTAATATCCTGGAAAATACTCGATAATTCAACGACGCTTCTAAATCGTGCGATCCTTGTTTTCATACAAGCCGAGGAAAGCCACATTTCATATTTGTCCAGCAGCGTCATCACTTTCACTCGTGGAATTTGGAAACATTTACTCGAATCTGTCTTATCAATTGTCGTTAAATCGCTCGATGGATAATCCATGAATTTTTATACTGTGTCTTTTATTATTACAGTTTTGCGAGTAAATGTTTTTTTGATGTACTAAAAATTATAAAATAATTAATATACACCAGAAATGTCAAAAAATATAAATTTAATGGCCTCTCAAGTTTTCTCTCTTCAAACACCACCTAGATCACGCAATTCGAAAATCAATAGCGAATACGCCTTTCACAATTCATGATCCAATATCAATTACAAATTTGTGAAACTATGTCTACAATTATTGATAATCATCCGTTTACAATTCTATTTAAAGAATAAATAAAAACAATTAATAAATCGACCACTTTTTAAGATCAGTTTTGACTGAAAATAATTTTCTAAACTCATAAATCTTAGAAAATATAATTCGCATAAAATGTATATATAGTTTTTTACAAACCAAATATTCGTCCCTTTGCAAAATCGAAAAATACTTACATATATATATGTTTATCTCGATTTCGTGACCGCGACGACATCTCGGGATATCCGCCAGTTTATTGTGTTCATCATGGCTTCGACGGGTTAGTATACCTCGCGAAAATGCTACTTTATTTGCTGTTTTAATTCGTCCGTAAACTGATAGCGGAACGTAAGATGGATAAACAATTTTCCATCTCGCTCGTCGTGAATTTTCTGTCATTTATCGCGTCGACGTTGACTTAATTTCGCGTACTTTCGCGTTTATACTTGTCAATCCGACCTCTTTGCTTGTCGCCTTTTATTTAAAAATTAAACGCACGTTATTTTCACGAGGACACTGGATTGTGACTTGATTTCTCCTTGTTTCCAGAATCTCTGGTGTGCGACACTCTCGATCTGAGCGGTCAAGGCCTCAAGAAACTCAGCCGATGTCCCTCGGACGCTGACATTAGCACGTTGATCATAGACGACAATGACATACAACGGCTTGACAATTTGGATTCCTATCACAGAATCACCAAGGTAATCCGCAAATTTATATCAAATTTATATTGTTCATTTGTACATATAAATGTAAAGCTTTGTGTACTAAGTCTTCTTGATTCTTTCGCAATGTTAAGCCTCGCTATACAAAAAGATGTATATACATATATTGTATATAATATAAAATGATTTATTCTCTATCAGTGCAACTATATTACAAAAATATATATTATTCTTAAATGTATATATATATATGGTTTTAATGGTTTTTCAGCTTTCTATAGTCAGAAATCAATTATTGCGTATGTATGGTGTGTCAAAGTTACATAATCTTGTTACTCTGAATTTGGCGAACAATGGTATACTCACAATAGAAGGTATCAAGGACATGATCAATTTGCAGACTCTTTGTCTAGCGGGTAATAATATCAAGGTATGATGCAATGCAATGCAATGCAATAGTATTTTATTTGTACAATTCTACAATTTTATAATATATAATAATGATATATTGTAGTCTATTGAACATCTACACACAAATATCAAATTGGAACATCTGGATTTGTCTGAAAACAGCATCAGTCATGTTTCAGATATATCTTACCTGCGAAGTTTAAAGGTATATTATTATAATATATATTTTTGTTATTTTGAATTATTATATAACAACATTTAAATGCTTTGATTTGTTGCTTTAATTTAGTTTAAATAATGCTTTACAATTAGTTTATATATTTTATTTAGTGTATATTAGTGTTATTATGTGATAAATAATGTTTTAGGAACTTTTCTTACATAACAATCGCATAATAACACTGCGTCAATGTGAGCGCTACTTGCCCATATCCTTAGAAACATTCACATTGGCAAATAACAATATTACTGATCTGAATGAAATGTCACATTTGGGTAATCTTAAAAATCTGGTGAATTTCTCTATTGCTAACAATCCATGTGTCAGTATGACAGGTAATAATATGTATCCTTTTTGTAATTTATATATATGTATACACACACACACACACACACGCGCGTTATTCATCTAGAAATTGGTAGAGTAATGTTACCTTTTAATATTAATTATAGCTGTAAATTGAAAAATACCAATACATAACTGTAGTATTCTAATTTTTCAATGCCGTAAATGGCAATTTTTGGTGGTTAAATATTGCTTTCACAGTTATACTAGATATAAGAAAATTAGTTTACATTAATCATATAGTGTTACAATAGTATATTATTCTTAACAAATGGTCTATAGTGGATTTGACTATCGGCCTTTTGTTATTAATTGGTGTATGAGCTTAAAATCCATCGACGGTTATGCGGTTGATCCTATTGAAAGGTGGGTTCCTAAAAAAAATATGTAATTAATATTATATCAAGATTGCGATTCACATTCATTGAATTTGAATGATCAAAAACTAATTGGCGACGTTTACTCAGCTTGAAAGCAGAGTGGCTGTATTCTCAGGGACGCGGTAGACAATTCCGCGTTGGTGAACACGCCTTACTTGCTCAATATCTAGCATCTGTCTGTCCGCTTTCGGGCGAATCCTTAGAGAACGAGACGGACAGGAAGCTTAGACTTATACTGAGCAAAGCTCAACATCACCAACAGCAATTGAATCAACAGAGCGATACTGGGAGTGTGCACAGCTTAAGTAGCGTGACCATGAGTCCTTCTCCAGCTGCTAGACGTAGGCTTAGTCATAACAGGACAAACTCTCCCAGACGACCTAGTGAGTCCAATAAATCCATCATTTTTGTATAAAATCATATGGAGACTCGATTGGAATGAGTTTTTTTTTCGAGGATTCTTAGAATCTCATTTCTTAGAATTCAATTTAATGTCATAGTTGCGAGAAGTGGACTAGTAGTGATCTAGATTTTCCAGTCGTCAAACTTCGGTACATACATCCTAGTTATGATCTATTTTCTCTAGTGCCAATGTTGACATACTATGAAGATAAATGCTTACACTCACCAAAATTTTATGAAGCAAAGTACTGTGTCTGCCATTTCCCTTGCAAAGGTATCCAAGGTCAAATTGAGGATTTATCATATATCAAATAAAATCACATAGCAGGAATGTGCAAGAATCTAAGAGCAATTCTTTAATTTGTGCTTAATAAAATTATATATTTTAGTTTATGAAGTTTGTGTGTTAAATTGAATTGAATTGCAAGTAAAATTTATTTTTTTATTTTTATAATTTTTCTACAAACATTATAATATTAGTACACATACATAATATATTTTTACAGTGATTTATTTTCATCATTAATTTGTGTTTCACAACCTGTACATATATATCTCACTTTTAGCAAATATCAATCAGTTATTCAAAACACAACTTTATTCACACGTTGAAACATGAAAGAATCAATTAGTTTGGATTCATGCACATGCCTATTCCTCTCATGCATAGTACTTTCTGAGCAGTTGCTTCTTTAGGCTTATAGTGCAAACGACCATTGGCCGATGAAAGCAGTTAATATATTATTACAGCTGTATACTTAGAAGATTTGGTTAGTGTATTAGTATTGGACGATTTGGAGAAAGAAACCTTTTCACATAGTTCACATCTTTTCTTTGAATAGTGTATAATTTCGATTAAAGTAGACTACATATCATCATTCTTGCATGCTTTTTTTTTGCTAGCATTGCTAGCATCTAGAGAGAGACTTCCTACAAGCACAAATATATTTTATACAAATGATATAATCTCGATTGTTGCACGATAAGCATTAACAATAGTATTAAACAATGTTTAACTTAAGCTTCCTCGAGGAACTCTCTGAAAATGAAATCGCCAGACCGGATGGTATCCAGCTGTCATACAGACGCCATCGTTTCTTCCTGTCACGGTTTATTGAGCGGCGATCACGATTCAACTCTGATGACACAAAGCTTAGATCCCAATATGCTAACAGGTACATTGAATACCAACAAAATATCAAACAACAGTCTGCAAGATATGGAAGGTAATACAGTTATATAATTAAATAATAAATCAGATCACAATAAGAAAATTGTTTTTTTTCTCTAGAAACATCAAGTCCTTTGCAAGCGGCTACGAAGCTTGTACCAGTACCAGAATCTTTGATGAGTCCAGATTTTCGTCCGCCATCAGGTCTTTCACGGATTTTACCAAAGACTCCTACGCCAAGTAAATTAACGTCTCCCTGTCAAATCACAATGCCCAGCAAACCATCGATGGATGGCGATGGAAAGGCAATTCCGATCATAAACACAGTCAATCCTATGGCGAAAACGAATCTAGGCGCTATTATAAAAGCGAACGCGCTTGTGAAGAGTAATTCCGCCACAAATTGCAGCACCCCGAAACCAAGCATAGCTAAACCGGTCGTAACGTATGCTAACAGCAAGTGTCCGCATAGCGTGAAGATTAACAATTATGTGCAGAGCAAGACGTTGCCCGCGAAGAGGAGCACTAAGAGTCCTAATCTAGCCAGAAGTATACAGCGACCGAAAAGCGCGAACGAGAGACTCAAGAGTAACTTGAACAAGGAAAATAAGAACGGCGATGCTGGAAATGGAACTCAAAGTAGCGACGAGGATAGTGAAGTATGTCAAGCGAAATTGGATAGTATTCGACATAGGGCTATTCAACGAAGACAAGAAGACAGCAATAAAGGTAGTATATAATCTTAAAAAAATAAGAATATTAAAATAAAAGATACACTCAATAAATATGTATTAACCGATGCTTTTTCGGATTAACAGATCAAGATCAAACAGAAAAAGCTGCTATCTGTATTCAAAGAATGTGGCGAGGCTTTCATACAAGAAATCTGAATAGAAAAGCTACTAATATATTAAAAACGATCGACATGATGAGAACAAATAAATACATCCAGTAAGCTTGCATATATTATTTGTCATATATATATATATATATATATATATATATATATATATATATATATATATATAATATATATTGTAATATTTATATATAGAACAAAATACATAGGTGAAATATTTTGCAGGAAACTATCAACTGATATGGAAGCTACAAGAACCGCTCTCGAAAGCGAACATAAATTACAATTATTACAAATGCAAGCGATCAACGCATTATGGAAGAAAGTGGTCAGTCTGCAACCAGGCAGCAATCGAGAGAACGCCTTCAATGATACGGACAATAATACCCTGCAATCAAATGCAGATATAGTTAGTAATCTCGCTCAAACCTGCAATCTACTTCATACCCAAGTGAGTTTTTAATTAAATAAGCTTTGTGTAAAAAGAGCTATACAATTTTTCCAATGTTTTTCTTACGTTTTTTTTCCTTTGCCAGGTTCAGCAACTACAGGACTCGATGTCCGAAATAAAGCGTTGCATGTCTAGTATGAAGTCAAGACCCGCTCTCGTTGATAACGGTGTCGCTACTCAAACAGAGATATCTGCCGTGCACACACCAGCTGGTGAGGAGAATACATTCCCGTATGGACGTCCTAATAGACCGCAAAGTCTACCGATACATCAGACGATACACGAGGGAAACGAGAACAAGAGTTTCGCATCCAACTTGGTGGACAGCGTGCTGAAGAAAGTGTCGCAATCCACCGACACGACAGATGACGAAGTCAATACAGACATCTTGAATTCAAATGAGAATCCAGAAGCGCCGCACTCGAACGATAATCCTGAGATGTTTAAGAGTTGCGAGGAGATGATAGAATCCGATCTTAAGGAGGCGGTTGAGAACGAGGTTGCGACAAACTATTACGAAAATATAATCGAGAACGCGGCGATAGATGTAGTATGCGAGGAAACGTTATGCAAGGAACTGCACAATTTGATTGAGACAGAAAATGGAGCGGAGGACTGCGAAAATTGTGACAAGGAGAACGCGATTAATGGAGATGATAAGGAAACCTTGTAGATTCGACTATGTCGAATCGTATCCGCACCATATGCCTTGTGAGTAGCGCAATCATGGTAAAATAAAAAAAAACGGTATATGCGAAGAGAAAGAAAGAAGACGAATGTCGAAATGTAATGCTCATTGTAAATAGTAATTTTAATCGTAAAAATATTATTAAATGGGATTTAATTTTATCGTAATCGTAAAAACCATTTTGTGTTACAAGAGGAAATACAAGAGGGAATGTTATCACACGTTGAACAACAAGCTGCCATTCGGATCGAATAATATTCGTGTTTTTAAGTAAAAGAGATTGATAAAAACACAGTGCGTATCAATTAAATTTATTTCGATAATTATGAAACATTTAAGTCAAAACTTAAGTGCAACTTTTGCTACATTACTTCCATATGCTGTCACCATAAAGTTTTGGAAATTTTCCGTCCATACATCCGACTGTTAACATACATGATAGAACATATACTCTGTGTAAAACGATTTTATTTTATCGCACTGACTATGGGAAATAGTTTCTGAAAAAATACACTAATGCTGTTTATATATTACTCTCTTTCTCCTCGAAATAGTTTCATACTGATATACTCTAAGAAATCATAACTTGCACAATTCAAAAGATGCCGATTTTTCTAAATTTAAAGCACCTGTGTAAAATATATTTATTATTCCATTTTAAATCTAATCAGTTTCCAGTTCTTTCAAATAACAATTTTATATTTAATAATTTATTTATATAATATAAAAGAAGTATTATTTTTAATGTACACTAAAAACATTAAAATAGAATATATAGAGCAAAGATATGATTGAACCTCTAGTCAATACAGTAGCTTTTACATTTAGGTAAACTGTAGATATTCACTTCAGAATTGTTATGTATAGATATTACTCGAGATTATGAAATAAACATTGCAAAATCTTCATTTAAATCTACTATATCGTTAAAAAAGAAACACGATTTGAGTCAGAAAAGATATAACTATAGAAAAGATATAACACTGTGTTTCTATAACTTGAGTCCGATTATTGATATTTATATATGACAAATATTCATTGAACAATTTAATATTCTGCAAATATGCGCGAGCTTAACAAATAAATTAACACTATATCTATTGATTGCAGCATATTCTATACGTATCTCATTATTTACTCTTCACTATCACCTCTCTTGCATTACTATTAATTTATTACTTTGCATTTGATCACGAATACATAGAATGGAAATGTTATATGTGATATAATTTTAAATCGACTTATACTTGAAGTAGATTTAAGAAATTATAAAATTTGACTGTGATCAAATTTATCTTGTTTTTAATGTAATTTCTACTAAAATCGTTAGATTTCAAGAAAATTATATTTCGACAGGAAATTATACGCGAATTAAAACAGCGTATCAATAACATTCATTCTATGTATATGTGGAAAATGTCAAGTAGTGAGAGAGTAATACAACATAAGATAAGTGATTAAGAGTTCATTAAAGATGAAGATACGTGATTGTACTTGCTAATATTTTAATGCTTAAAATTTCTTGAATAATTCAACATTTTTATGAACTTTGAGGTAAATGTTCAGTGTGCATCTAATGTAACTTGAAACATGTTTGCAGCAATGTTTGCTTCAATAGCGAGAGCTTAGCTAAGATTTTTATTCTTGTGATTTTCCGAGAGAAACATATGATATGTGATATGAACCAAAATAATTTCTTTATAATAGCACGGGTTGGAATAGACATTGTCCTCGTAAAACGAGAATATTTAGAAACATAATTGTAGTATTGTATTTATTTCACATTCCCTGACAACTTATAAATTATACATATATAAGGCAGTATTCCGATTACATATTATTTACATGGTATTTTGTATTTGACATTATTTTAAGAAATATACACAAGATTAGAATATGTTATGCAATTATTGTCTCTTTTTGAATAATAATCCTAAAGTATTTTCTTATCCAAATATTTTCTTAACAAGTATATCATTGATATATTTGTGATTTTTAATAAAAATTTATCAAAAGGGATTATAAAATAAACACAGAATTATTGATATCCTTACATTTTCTTCATTCATGATTTCTATGACATATACAAATATATATTATACAAATATATGATACAATGAAATATTGATTCAAGTATTAATTGAAATATTGGAATATTAATCCCATAAATTCATATTTATGGAAAAATTACCAATTAGAAATTGTCAATTTCTAAATATCTAATATAATTCCTTAAGCTACATGAAAAGTGATGCATCCTTTGTTTAAAAAATAAAAATATAAAAATTTTTATTAAAAAATTTATGAATATAAAATGTACTCAATGAAACATTTTCTGGCATGTTTCTTTTTCAAATTCTACATAAGAATTGTCCATCTTTTTTACTTTTCTTATTTCGTGTGCAATATCCTTATCATTAGGATATATCTCAAATGCTTTCTCTAAATCAGCTATTCCTAATTTATATTCATTCAAGCCAGTATAAGCTTGCCCTCTCCTAAATAACGCTTTACCATTAGTATTGTCCGTTTCTAGAACCTAAATTAAATTGTATGTTTAAATATATAAAAGAAACAATCTTCCTGATTTTTTTCATATAATCCTTACCTCGTTACAGAGATGTATAACTTCACGAAACATTTTCCTCCTTAAGTGTACAGCAGCTAAATTAAGTAATAAAACTGATTTAAGATCTACCAATGAGACATAAATAGTATCTTGCATATCTTTTTGCTCGCACATCCAAAGATAATATCGTAATGCTTTTTTATATTTTCTACCAGCATCCACAAAGTTCTGTTTGGAAAAATAATTATTTCCAGCATCCTTTATGTTTCTTATAACTTTTTCCATGTATTTGTGCTAAAAAAAGTATAAATAAATTTAAATTAAACAGTAATTTCTCTCTCTCATTATATAAAAATAATTTTCAGGAATATATGTATGTATATGAAAAACAATTTACACTGAGTTTGTCAACATGTGAAGAATAATCCCAATCTTCCGGCCATGGCGTATAAACATCCTCTGATCCATCATTTTCTTCCAATCCCCAATTCTCATCTTTTCTGAATTCTCCGCAATCAAATATATTTATTTCCTAAACAAACCAATCGTAACACTGAACGTTTATTATAGATGGAAACTATTATCTTTATGTACTAAAGAGATACACAATTCTTACATCAAGTGGAATGTCCTTCTCGGTCTGCACTTTACAGATTTCTAACACTATGCCCATGCCTTTTACAACTTTTCCAAACACCACATGAGTGTTATCTAAATGCGTGGAGGGTTGTACAGTAATGATAAATTGGGAACTGTTACTATGCGGCCGCCCTTCGTTTACCATACTAAGTAAACCAGCAGTTGTGTGTTTCAATGTGAAATTCTCATCATTGAAGTAAGGACCGTAAATACTTTCTCCACTAGTTCCATCAAAGTGGACGATGTCTCCACCCTGGATCATAAACTGCGAAATAACTGAAACAACGCAAATTACATGAATGTATTACAGTAAATTATTTTAATTAAAATTAAGTAACTTCCTTTTGTGCTTAAATAAATAATAAAAACTACGCTTCAGGCACAAAATATAAAAATAAATTTTTGTATTATAATTTTACGATTATAAACGATTGATGAACTAATAAAAAATGATAAAAACTGTTGGAAAATTGTATTAGAATTATGAAACGCGTACCTTTGTGAAAAATACTTCCCTTGTAATGTAACCTCGAAGTCTTTGTTCCGGCTCCTTTCTCACCGGTGCACAAAGCACGAAAGTTCTCCGCGGTTTGCGGCACGACATTTTTAAATAATTCTATGACGATTCTTCCCACTAGGACAATAATAAAATCGTGATCTTTGTATTATACCGAAAAATACGCCGCGATATTTTATAACCTTCATGTAAAATACCTTTCTCGGAGCCTATCGCAATGTCCAGAAAAACTATGGGATTATTCTTATTTGTAAGAAGATCCTTCGGATTCTTCCTCGAAGGAGGCTTCATATTTTCCTCGATGAAAATCGCCGAAAATAATTTTACTCGTACATGAGATTACTCGTCAGCTTGTTGATGTGACGTGCACGCGAAGCTCGCGTAAACACAAATGTCACTTTCAAGATCGTTCGTTTTGTGTCCTTGACAAACGCGTTGTTTCTATATATATACCTTTAATATCAAAGAAAAAAATATCTCCCTTCTAATAATACACGTTCTTACACAATTGATCACTTCATGTAATAATCATAGGATTTATTATTTTCGAACGTATCGAAATATACATATATATATTTGTTGTAAATTTAAAAACTTTTTTGCATCTCTCTGAACTGATAACAAAGAATAATGTTCAAATATATTTTCTTCAAGATGTCAACGAAATATTACAAATAGAATAGTGCCTTTATTTGTAAAAGAGATAAAAGAGATAAGAAGAGGATGTTAAATTTGTCGGAGACAATTAAATCACGCTGACTCGACGTGACTTTGAATACATTTGTGAAGAGCATATAACTTTTATTTGTTTCGATATAAAATGATCAAACTTTGTTCGTATCGAAAAATTCGATATTGCGTAGTAAAATTAATTATATATAAATGCGTAATCAAATTTAAATTATTGCATAAAACTAATTTAAATAAAGCCAAATGGAACAATAATTAAAAATATTCATCACAAAATAAGTTAAAACTCGAGCTATTATATATAGAAAAATCTATTCTCTTAAATACGTATCTTTAAATCATCATGTTTTCTATTTATATTAAATAAAAAGACAAATTTTTATAGAAATTTCTAAAGAACTGATTATTTACAAGGTTTATCGAAAAATACTTTCTCTAATCAATATATTTAATATACTATAAACTTCATCTATTTCCAATCTTTCTTATTTTCGAACAAAATACACACATTACCTTGAATGTCAGTTGTTTTATATATGTTAAAAATTAAAACTATATTTGCATTTTTACCGGTAAAAAGTTAAAAATCTTTAATTGATTACAAATGAGAATTTTTCATAAAAAAACTCTAGGTCCCACCGAGATTTGAACTCGGATCGCTGGATTCAGAGTCCAGAGTGCTAACCATTACACCATGGGACCTCTTGCATAATGGTGCAAAGATATCATATATAAAGCATCAAAATTTTTCTATAAAAATTGTTATCAATATTGAACAATTTTAGAATATTAATATCAAATCTATAATTAATAACAAGGTGTCAGCAATTTAAGTACCGACAGAATGATTACACATTTATCTTTGATGAAAGATAGAAATTTATTTCTTTCATGTATATTTGCACAAATTAAATAAATTATAAAGTTGTATTAATTAACAGTTATCAATGACCTTTATTTTTCAGATGGTGAACAACGAGATTAAGAAATAATGAAATTAATTTGGCCAACTTGGATTTTGAGAATTATGCAGTGCAATTTATACATCAAGAAATCATCAAAAATCATTCTATACACAGTGTGTATGTGATACAAGTGAATATTACATGATATATAATGAAATACAAGATGAGCTCAATATTGTATAAAATGTAATAGAGATTAAACCTATTAATGAAAAAATTAGACTTTGTTTATGAAAGATTTAAACTCTACTTAAAGCAGAGATTAAAAAATGCTTACAATTAATACAAAGTTTCAGTTGAAGCCAACTCAGTATACATTCGAACTTGCTTAAACGATCTAAATCTTTTTCTTTTTATAAGATACTCTAAAATCTAAAGCGACAACAATTATAGAATAAAATGTGAGTATAGGATAGAGAGAACATAAAATATCGATATATCCCTATTATTTTTGTTTTATCGTTGTAATAAGTAAGTATAACAATGAAATTTCTCACAGAGTAACGTATAATCGCGTATCGCTTTTTCCATATAATAAATTTTAATACATATATGTAATATTTATATATCTTTCATCTATATTTCACAGAATCTTTTTATCAATAAAATTCTCGCTATATATATACATATATATACATATATATACACATACATATATATATATGTATAAATATATGAAAATCATAATACTATATATAAACAAGCAAGATATCGATACACTTATCTTATACATGTAGTAAGTAGTCAAATTTCTAGAAGCTTTTCTAATGCTAAAATGTATTACATACTATCAGAACTTTTTTGTCCTTCATTATTTATCTGGAAATAATAACGAAGTAGTATATTTCGTTTCTTCGCGTGATTAATTTTGACTCGAGTCGATATTGTAATAATTTCATACATACTTGAGTGATTCACATTTAAATATACAATGCGCAAATGAACAAGATCATTGGCATAAAGCATTTTTCATGTTATTTTGAGCAATAAAAAAGTACATTTTTTCTTCCTCGCGTACTCCATCTCGTATGACAACACATAAAATAGTGTGTTTTAAGGTGTGTGAGTGTATATATATGGATGTATGTGCGAAAAACGAGTTTCTCTTTTCACATTATCTCAGTTTCACACAGCGAATTTGGCGAACCATTTTAAAGATTTGTTTTCGTTCTCTATATAGACATGACTGATAGATATTACAATCTATACGATAATCTGTCGATTATATATTATACAAATATGACCCCACATAAAAATGCTCTTTGCTCTAAAGCCAAGTTTAATAAAGAGAAGTGCAGATTCAATGATTTTTAATAGAAAAAAGTAGACGCTCCTGTGCACTACCGGACAATAATCTCCAACCGCGTTTGATGTTCAGATATTGAATGATGGCACGTACACAAATTAAAATTCCTGAAACAAATAATATCATATACTTCAGTACTTTTAATAATAATTACATTAAAATATATTTTTGATTAAATTTCTATTAAACATCATACATACCAAATGCCATTATCAACCACCAAAGCCATGAGTTCTCACGCGAAGCAAGGTCGGTAGAATGTTTGACAATGAGTGTCCACTTTGTCAGAGACAATCCAAAACCAGCCAGCGCACCGTAACGAGAGGCAATAGTGTGACAGAAACACATCAGTAACAAAAATCCAATCCAATTAAATAGGAATGCAACTATAAAAGATAGATAAATTAATGCAAATATCACACTTAAAAGATATTAAAATGTATATATGTATAGAATAAAAAAATATCTCACCAAGAAATGATGTGAAGAACATAAAGTCTGTACCAAGTAATCCACTTTCTGGATCTCCCTCTGCAGCTTCGGTATCTATAGCCAATATTGTCAGAGGCTGTTGTGGTGATCTAATATTTCCTGGCTATAATAGAAATATTTTAATATAGAATAACTTAGAGGATTCACAATTTAAAATATTTAAAATAAAATTATGAATGCATAAAAAATATATATATATATATACAGTATACATAAGTACACAACAAATACATAAATACATAAAATTCTTTCAAGTACAGCTATGTACCATATGTACTTGAGTACTGCTATGTACCATGTGTACTTGAGGCTGTGGCTCGCCTTGTAGACTTTTTTCACGCTGCACCTCTTCATAACTGGGCAATTTGGTAGCTACTTCATAAGGAGGTGGCGCAGAAAAGTCTGGTTTTGGAGGTGGTATCTCTTCTGCATCGGACTAACAATAAATAATTTTGTTGAGTTAGTAATAGTTCATATAATCTAAAATAAGTTTTATTATACATTTATATCATTACCATCCGATTTGTTAGATTGTTCGCTTGTGCACCAGCAGCAGAGGAATGACCGAGTATATCAACTTGCATAAAGGGCATAGCTACGGTAACTGTAGGAATTTCGTTCTGTTGTGACGTTTCGCCGCTGGTATCCGCACTTGTTTGAGGCGGCTATAAAGCAGAAGATAAAAACTCGATTAATACATATAGTCTGAGAAGTGTTGTCGCTCTGGATTATTCCGCTTCAAGAGGTAATCGATAAAAAAAACATTCACGACTTCAAGATTTACATTCGCTTCGTGGGAGATCGCAGATAACGATGCCGTTGATCGGCATGCAGAACCCAATGAGACAGATTAAAATAACGTGACATCGTGGGAAAGCATTTCAATGAGTATGAACAGAGCTGATAACATTCGAGAAAATATTGACGATCGCGCGAGGACAAGTTTTCGTTCGCATAGAATAAATATTTCGACGCTGTGTTTTCGCGCAGAAATATTTTATTGGCGCACGAGATATATATATATATATATATATATATTCTACAAGTACGATAAAGGATATAAAGTGTCATAATAAGAAATGGAACCATTTACGGCTCGTCGTCGTCTAGACGTACCGTATTTTGACGGGCGTTACTGTCCATTTCTGGCCAGATTTCCGGGTGGCAATTGACAAACGGTATCGGGAATCGGCTTCCCGGGGCACGGCACGCGTCTCTGAAAACGCGAAACGCCGCTTTCCGAATGAATAAAAAGCAATTTCACGATCCCGATGGCTGACAGCTGTTAAGTCGTAGCCGACGTGACGTTTCACCGCCGTTCTAAAGTCACGTCTATCATCCTCGATTCTTTATGTAGGTTCCGGCCGATCTGAATTCGAGAAACGGAGACGAGAAACTCTTCTTTCTCTTTATTATTTTCGCAGGACGCTTTTCATTCTTTTTTCTCCCTTCTTTCAAATTTTCTTTTGTAATTTTTATATAAACAAAATTTGTCCAAGTCGATGTTTATACTTGTTCTGTCAATATTGATTCGTATAAATTACACTTAAATTTATTAATTAATCTAGATTTTATATATATATACATATATATATATATACATATATATATATATATATATATATATATATATGTATATGGTAAAAAATATTGGATGTCTAATTTGATCCTTTTCGTCGATATTATATCATATTTCATTTAGAGATTATGATTCAAAATTGTTCAATCTTCCTATTTAATTGCACACTCCGGCAATAATATTTACAGCATCATGAACTATCAACAATTATGATTGCGATTTAAATATAGAAAAGATAATCCGCGAAAATGCGGATCATAGAGATACAAAATATCGAGCGTTCTGATTGGACGCGAGCGATCTTGCATTGAAAACCAGCCTTTAGGACGGGATCGCAACTACCGGAAGACAGCGCGATGCACTGGAAATGTACTGTGAAAAATTACATCAATTTTCTCATCACTCTTCGAGGAACGTCTCAACATAATCTTTTCTTCTCGCAAATAATTAATGAATTTAATCTTTACATTTTGCATGTGGAAATATCTTCGACGTTGTCGAGGTCCGCGAGATCTGTCACTCGCTTGACTAGCTGTCAAACGCGGACGGCGATAGTGGGAGGGAGGAAGGACTCGGTTCACGTCGTCGCACAGAAACGACGCTCCGCTCATCAGTCAGTTGCTCCAGTCAGTCGTTCGCTGATCGTTACGGGGAGCAGGTGGACAGATCCTCGCAAGATCCTTGCACCGCGATGTCGGAAGTATTCAAATTGGGTGATTTGGTTTGGTGTGTATTAAGTGTGCGCATACCGCGATCGTGTACCCCCTAGTGTAGACGTACTAATCTTTCCACGTTTCTCTTTCTGGCTTTCAGGGCGAAAATGAAGGGATTCTCGCCGTGGCCCGGCCGGGTAAGTCACAACTCCCCTCCCTCCTTCGCTTCCTTAGTCGGTGACTATCGTAACGCGGGCTCTCTCATTTGCGCTCCTCCCTTAATACGGTCTGCGCGCGCGCTCGTATTTGGCGGGTTTTCGCTCTCCCACGAGTTATTCCACGACGATGATGTTCCCCGAATGTCTGCCGGCCGTCGACGCCACCAGCTCCGACCCGCATCGCATCGCGACGTATCACGCGTCGCTATCTCCCGCCACACCCGACCTTCGAATTCAAATTGGCGCGCAAGCCGTGAAAATATAACCTAAATCTCGTATCGCGTCTTCCTTTTTTTTTTTTTTTCACCTTCTCAGACGAAAGCGATAGCAAATTTTGTCATTTTTTTTTTTCGTCATGGCGAAGAATTTCGGAAAGCTATCGAGAGATATCCGCTGTCGAGATTTCGGAATTTTGTCCCGCGTAATCTGTCTCTTTTTCCTTGCTTTTTCTTTTTTTTTATTGGTAGTAATGCGCGTGACATTGAACACGACATGTTTGAATGGATCCGATTACGTCTGTTCAGCTTGATGCAGTCGCGTTTTCTATACATTTACGATGAAATAAGTGCATTTTTCGGAAAAAGAGAGAAAAAATATTGAGAAACGTAATTGGGATCTTGTAAGTTTTACGCGGTAATTATATCATTTCACAAAACAGGCTGTAGTAAGATCAAGAGTGATCTAGAAAACTATTGTCGAGATAACTATAACTATCTTAATGTTAATAATTTCCATTTAAAATAATCTCTCTATATTATTTTAATTTATAATTCTAAAAACTTAATTTTTTTAATACAGCGTTTATAAATAGATAATTGATTTATGGATGAATAATTGTCATTCGACAAGAGCATTATTTAATCAATTTTTTTAGTAATGTTTTCATATATTTCTCAGCAGTACTTTTAATATCTTTTTATCAATTTCATATCATGAGAACACATGTATGGATATTAAAAGTTTCAATTAATGATCACTTTGTAAAAGAGGGATAACTATGATATCAAAGTATTTTATTAGAATTAATTTTCAAATATAATTGTAATACATATCTATCTTTTAAAATATTATATATATGTATATATATATATATATATAATATTTTTAAAAAATATAAAGAAATATATATATATATATATATATATTGCGTTTAAATGGATTGTAAATAAAAATTAAATGCATAGCATATATTTAAAAAACATGATATGATTATGCTTTTTAATGTGTTAGGCTATATATTAATTTTATAATGGCATGTAAAGGTGTCAGTTCCTTCAAAGGATTTAAAGAAGCCTGCAAACACTAAAAAGGGACCAGTACAGTGTATTTTCTTCTTTGGAACAAACAATTAGTAAGTTCTATCTACAAAAATTGTTTACGTGTTACATATTCATAAAATGTTGCAATATTTCATATTCCTTAATGTCTTTTGCAGTGCGTGGATAGAAGAATCCCACATTAAACCGTACCAAGAGTATAAAGATACTTTAGTGAAATCTAGCAAGTCTGGAGCATTCAAAGATGCAGTGGAAGCTATAGAAGATTTTATCGCCAAAGGGGAAGTGAGTTGAAAATTTTTATATATTTTATTTGATAATTTAATTTATAACTACATATAATAATTGGATTGTAATATTAATTACATAATTGCTAATAAAAGTAACTATATGTTACTATTAATATTTTAGTACTACTAAAAAATAAATATGTAATTAAGCTCGCATAATAAAAATGATATCTATTGATGTGTATTAGGTATTTGAAGATGGTTTGGATCCAGATTCTCTCTTCGACAGACTTAAAGAAGAGACTGTAACCGAGAAGAAGACGCCCGTCGTCAAAACGCCAAAACCTCGCAAGGTTGGTAACAAATATGTCTCGCATTTTGTCACAATTGCTAAAAATGTTAATTACATTTTGTATTAATATATGTACGCAAACAACTGCTGCTACAGGAAACTACAAAAACCACTAAGCGGCTAAGCGACAGTGGTACAGGTGATCGTCGACCTGCTAAAAAGCAGCGTAGGGAATCAAGTACCAGCAATAGCAACAGAGTCGGCAGTGTCAGTCCTACATTGAATCATTCTACTCCAGCTAGAAAAACGGGCTCGCTTCTAAACAGACCGGCAAATGTCACCAGACCTGTAAGTAATTAATATCTTTCTTATTGCTGATAGAAAAAAATTTATGCATTGTATCGTTAGTATTTTACACAAGTAAATTTTGGAACATATACTTTAATAACGTAAATTATTAAATGACAAACTTGATCTTGATATGATGCACGAGTGCATAATACATTTTGTAGAGTTGATATATTGTTAAATAATTGTAGAAGATACATTGTTTTTAAATCTGGTTTTTAAATATCTATATTTACATTTCGCATTTAGCGTTAAATATAATTGTTAGTAAAGATTTTTAAATTTTTTTTTAAATTCATTATTTTCATTCTTTTTATTTAGTATGAATAATTATTCATGAATCCTTATGTAGGATGTTATCATAGTCTGAGAATCGGTATACGTGCGCGGAATGTTCTGTATATATAAAAGTGCTGTATCTCAGTGCCGTACTTAGCTACATAGTGATCCCGCTTCTATCATTCCATGTACATAATTTTATATTTTAGTTTTAGTAAAATATTGAAAAGTATTTCATTATATGAAATATATTTGATTATATAGTTTATAAATTTTTTAATTTATTTGACTTTTGATAAATAATATTTAATATTTAATATAAAATATTTAATCATATATCTTTAGGTAATAGTATCAACTTGGGAAAAATATTGGGGGGGTTGGGGGGGGGGAGACAAGCATTTTAAATGACTTTTTTTTAATAGCCTTTGGGCTGGTTCTACAATAGATAATTTAAGCCCTAAGTCTTAAGAAGACTGTGATTAGTCAATTTCTTAAAGCTTAGGGTTTAAATCACCTATTGTGGACCGGTCTTAGCGAGAAATAGGGGATGGAAGTATGTAGAAAGTCAAAATGATGTCAATATAACGTCAAATTGACATTGACATAAAATTATTGGGGAAGCGTCGTCCCTTCTCTCTTGAACGAGGAAAAATAATATTTGAAAAACACTTATTATGCTTGGGTATTCATCATGTTGCGATTTCAGACAGACAGTCACGCATTAAAACCAGATTGTTTATGTACAATTGATTACGAAATGTAATTTACTGCGATGTGCGATGTATTTCCTTCATCACATCCCAAGGAGGATAGAAGAGTGTCAAAATGATGTCAATATGATTGTGTGTCTGAAATCGCAACATGATGAGTACCCAAGCATAATGAAAGTTTTTCATCAAACATTTTTCCTCGTTCAAAAGAGAAGGTGCGCCGCCCTCCCAATAATTTTATTGGATGGGGGAGGGAGGGGGCAAAAAATGTTCTGCCCCCCTAAAGTCGACACCACTGTCATTTGACATACCAGACACTAATTAACGACTTTCCAATTTAGAAATTTTTATCTCCAGTCGTTCAATAATTTTTTAAAATGTAGATTCAGAAATATTAATTTGCAATGTTATATATGTGATATGTACATATATCTATATGTATGTGTGTGTGTGTAGACATATATGTATGTGTATATGTACACATCATATATGTCTACACACACACACATACATATAGATATATTGTATATATTTATACACACAACTTATACAATTTAATGATTATATTTATTATTACATTTATTAAAATTATGCTATTTATTTAAATATAGATACATATATATGACATAAAAAATCTGCTTAGCATTTCAAAAAAAATATATTCGATCTATACATTTTAAAATTCCAATAAAAAATTATTTATCTATTATTCATAGTTCAGTAATTCATTAATAATCACTCATTGTCTGTTATTCATCATTCACTCATATAATCACTTATGATTAAATAGAAAATGGAATTTCATTAAAAACTCTTTAAAAGAAGTATGTCTTTTTTCTAATTATACATTTTTTAAAGGTATTTATTGAAATATTTTATTAAAAATTATTGTGCATAAGATTAGTCATAATTTTCTAATTTTTAGTGTAAACATCTTGATAATCAAGAATTCAAATTCTGTTACATTAGATTCTGTTAGATTTTCATTATAATTAAAGCAGACTTTTTTTCTTTTTTATTTTTATTAGAATTTAATTAACCAGAAAATTGTTTATTTTTCTCATTGATAACTAAAGTAACAGTATTTTTAATTTGAAATTAGATATTTGAAATAATCGGATGTTGCTGAAAAAATATATATTTATATACGCAATATTTATTATGAATATAATTAAATTCGAAAATTCTTTATTATATTTATAAATATTAATTACTTTAAATATTTTAAGTAGCAAAAATTTATGCCAATTAAATCGTTTATGTATTAAGAAGAAATATTTGTCAAAGAAACATTTTATTTTTACATGTATCTACTATTTTTCAGAAAATATTTTAAAAATAATTTGTATAGGTACCCTTCCTGTAACATTCCTTTATCTTTTTCCACAGGTCACGCCGCCCTTAGATCTCGAAACGATGTCAAAAACTCTTAAGGAAAAGAACATTCTTCCATCCAATCTGAAATTTGGTTTTCTCGGACTCGGCATCATGGGTAGCGGTATTGTGAAAAATTTGATCAACAGTGGTCACAGCGTGATCGTATGGAATCGAACGCAGGAAAAGGTATGTATTAATATATTTTTTTTCTACTATACAGCGTGCATAGAAAATTTTTATCGATGCGTTATAATGGAAATACGCATATTGCGCCATGCGCATTGAGTTACAATTAAAATAGCATTTATTAAATAATGAAAGAATATTTAGAAATTATATATTTATATATTATTATTTAATGAACAACATGATTTATGACGCGCGTGGATTTCATATATATATATATATTCATTACCATGATTTTTTATTAAGTATGTTTTTCTTGCATTAACAATTGCATTTATATATAAATGCATATATTTTTTATACATTAACTTACTTAAAAATCGCTTAAAAATTTATACTATTTAAATGAAAAACATTGAAAAAAGGAAATATTGAAGATAATCAAGAGTATCATTTATTAACTTAAGCAGTTGAACAGTCATTATTTTGATCGAAAGAAATAACTCAGAATTATTTTTGCAAAAATAAACAGTCACTCATTAGAAGTGGCTTTAGGTTTTTTACATCGTTCAGTCGCAGTTTTAAAATGATTTAATCGTTCGATCTCTTTTCATTTTTTCAATATGGATAATGCTCGAATAACGAACAGTATTTGTCTTGATATAAATTGATGCTGCTCCATTGCTTATTCTGAAACATGCAAGTTTAGGAAATAAGAAATGATAATTTATGTCATTGTACTTATTTATTGTTCACATTTCTATATATCTATGGTATCTTGGAGTAAAAAATAGAATACTGCCGAGGAAAAACTCGACAAGATATTCAAATGTTAAATTTCGGAAGGTAATTCTTTTGTGATAAACTATATTTAAAATATTTTGAAACGATATTCTTATGGAGATAATCATAAGAATTGCTTGGTCTTTTTAATGATAAAAATTGAACTTAACCCTAAAAAATAGAAAAACAGCGCTTCAGCTGTAAAAAGAATTTTTAAAACAATTATATATTTATACCTATATTTAATAATTATATTTGCATCTCTTCTTTGGTATCCAATTTTCAAAATTTGGATTGTAATACAAGCAATTACTTATATACAGTATGTAGATACATAACTTGATTGATATATACAAATTCAATGATTGGCAAACATTATTTAATGACAAATTTACTATACACATTCACCTTGATTTTATGCATAATTAATTCTCTTTGATATTTTTAAATGTGATAATTATAAAACTTATATATATTCGAAATAATTATTATTTTTATAATAATTTCGAGGGCATTTTGCTATCATATCAATTACAATTAATTGTACTAAAAAGACATTGAAATTTATTGGATAATTCTCCTCTCTCTCTCTCTCTCTCTCTCTCTCTCTCTCAAGTTCCATATATTCTATACATACATTCTATAACATACATTCTAATACATTGATAATTCAAATAATCCTTTGAAAGAGTTTACAAATCAGCGGCATTTAAGAAACATATTGAATAAAATATTGAAGTTGCATAGGATAAACAAGTAATCGATATATTCAGGACATTTTGAATATTAAAAAAGTAAATTTTTTTATCACTAAAAACGATATTTCTACATAATATTATATATAAATTTTTGCTACAAAATTATTTCTTACAATGTTAACAGATAGAATAAATTTTATAATATTTAATCTTTCTTTTTATAATATTTAATCTTTTATATTTTAATCTTTATTTCTATAATTCGTTACATATACATACAGACAATAGCGTAAATAATTTTTAATTCAATAGTATATACAATTTTTGCCTCTTAAGATGTTCTTTAAAAATAACAAAAAGCATCTCTTCTATGTTTTATTTGCAAAATTAGAAATGAATATAAAAAATTATATTAATTATATTAATTTCATAATTTATATAAATATTTGTCAGTTACGCGGAATATATTTTATAAAATAAAAAGAGAAAACTAGATTTAATTTTACTAAAATTTTATATATTTTTAATTTTTTCTTAGGTCTCTAATGTCACAAATTTTTAAATACTGAAAGATTATTCACACTTAATTACGCCAGTGTCGATATAATAATATATTGGAACAAAAAGTCGTTCCTTGACAGCAACTTTGCTCGATTCAGATTATTTCGATTTATATAAATTATATAAATCGAATTATATAAATCAATTTATATAAATCGAAATAATCTGAATCGAGCAAAGTTGCTTTCAAGGAACGACTTTTTGTTCCAATATATTATTATATCGACACTGGCGTAATTAAGTGTGAATAATCTTTCAGTATTTAAAATTTGTGACATTAGAGACCTAAGAAAGAATTAAAAATATATAAAATTTTAGTAAAATTAAATCTAGCTTTCTCTTTTTATTTTATAAAATATATTCCGCGTAACTGACCAAATATTTATATAAATTATGAAATTAATATAATTAATATAATTTTTTATATTCATTTCTAATTTTGCAAATAAAACAAAAAAGAGATGCTTTTTGTTATTTTTAAGGAACATCTTAAGAGGCAAAAATTTTATAATTTTTTATAATTAATTTACATGCGTTGCATGCGCGCCATCCTTTCGTTAAGGCTTCACGGTTTATACGATATATAAAAAATATACATGCTGGAAGCATAAGTACAAGTTCCGATATATGAAGGAACAAAGAAAGATATTTTTGCCTAAGATTCGATGTGCCATAACACGAATAGTTAATTTAAACTATTTTCTAAGCGTAGTAGATTTTAGATTTCTTATTTTTCGTTTACTTCTAAAAACGTTTACCTTGGTTATATAATACAATAATGCAGATTGTTTTAACTATACAAGTTGAAATAACGGAAAACCGCATCAGTCGGATTTTATTTTCTCGTATATTTTTTCTATATAATCAGAAATAAAGGTGGCATAAAAGGATTTACTGATATTGATCGGTTCACAGTTATATATTTTAATCAAAAGATTATTCAAAATAAATACAACGGTATTGAGTAGTGAACATTTAGAAACAAATTTCCTTTTAGTAACGAAATTTAGCAAGTTTTAATTATCACACAAGTTGACAATTATTACACTAATGTAAAACGTTCGATGTCAATTAAATTTCTGCACGATAGCCATTCATTTGTTAATAAAATAAATACCATCAACTTTTATTTGGCAAAAAAGTGGACGTAAATATGATATGTATATGATGACCTCTTTGAATTGAAATTGTGTAATGAGTATCCTCCTTGGAATGTGTATATACAGCTGATCGATAGGTTTGACAAATACAAATCAATCGTATGTAATGATATTTACATATTATCAATCTGCATTCTTATTACTTTTTTCTTGCACTATCGAGATTTTATATCGAAAAGAAAATTCTTTATATTTTATTGTGTGTGTTTCGGTAGTTGGGTTTAATAATTGTAAACAATCCTTATGAATTATATCACCACGACGATAATTTGGAGAAAAATATGGAGATATATAATCGTAAATAGAAAGAGTAAACAGAGAGAGAGAGAGAGAGAGAGAGAGAGAGAGAGAGAGACTCACAATCTTGTTAAAAGTTTCGATAGAAATATATACTTAAAATTGTATTGTCAGAGAGGCCATATATAATTATGACAATTTTCATATGCAATTTAATATGCAAATGATATAAGATTTAGGAAACTTATTTCATTATCTTTAGATATCATCTGTAAAACTGACATAATTGTACCGCTTCTGACAAATTTATATTGATAATAAGACTTATTGCGCAAATGACGCAGAGTGTATTATCAATTAATTCAAGTTTTTAATAAGATTTTGAATTAAGTTTACAACAGCATGATATACGCTATATAAATAATTATTTTAATCGACTTTGGATTAATTAGAACGAAAATTATTTAAATTAGTACACGCGACGAAGTTTGTGGAATCAGATATGATTAGATTGCACTTTATATAGTGCTATCATTCCGATTTGTTGATCTATATAAAGTATATAGAATGCGTCTGAAAAGTTGGGAATCAATAGAAGGAGAGCATTTTTTGATGAAAATATAAAAATAATGTTTTCTTAGCAAAAACTTGTGTTAATACTCCTTAATTTTCAAGAATGATTAGCAGATTAATAATAAATATTCAATGTTTGTAGTAGTTAAATGTCTCTGAAATAGAATTAGCCATTTTAGAATAAGCGTTAATACATTTTTTTATTATTCATATAAATATCTATATAAATAATTAATGTTTTTTAAAGAAGACATAAGTAAAAGTTTAGTCTTGACACTTTTTAATTAAAACATTTATAAATTAACATTTAAAAATAAAATAAAATTTTTTTTAGGATGAATGAATTATATGTCCTGTTATAAAGAAAATATTATATTTGTACACAATTATTTCAATATATTACTAATTATTTTTTATATGTGTGTTTATACATATATATATATATATATATATATATATATATATATATATATATATACATATACATATATATGCACACAATTGGAATAAAAGTTTTTTTATTTAGTTATGTTGAACACTTGACAGTTAATGTCTTGTGACTTATTAATATTATTAAATAATAATTATATATGTTTGACACTGCTATAAGAATTATGAGAAACATGTCAATAATTAGATATTTGCATTATAACTAACAATTACTTGGCGATCGAAAAAGTATTAATTTCGATAACGGAAAATAAGCTTGACACAAATTTTTAATTTGTTTATGTTAAATTATATTTGTTTAAAATATCACGCTAAATTTAATTATATTAGATATATAGAAAATCATTTATTTCTTTTTTACCGATTATTATTTAAAAATGTCGCCATAGATCCAATTTCGGCATACTGAATATCTTTCATAAGTTGCATAAACATTATTTATTGAAAACTTTTTTATTGACTTTTATAGAACCCATTAAGAGATCATTTGGAAGATTAATATCTGTTTATTTTACCAAAATTTCCTTAATTTGGCCTTCTTTTCATTAAGGAAATGTTGACTCCAAGTTCATCAAGTTTGATTCTGATGACTTATTGATTCCCAGTTCTTCGGATTTAGCTTATACAGGTTTTTCTCGATATAGAACTATGCTTCCTCTGGCGTCATTACAACGCCAAGATCGGCTACATGATTTCCGCTATGGTTACGCTTCGTCTTGTATATCCCGTACACGGCCTCCCCCTCTGTCTAACGCGGAGGAAACACGATAAAACTTTATCTTTCTCTCGCGTAAACGCCGCTGATGCGATCCAAAAATAACGTCAACGTTCTCAGTTATTTTCCTTTCCATTCCTTATCCACTGATATCGTTGTCATTGTGACTCAGTCAAGTCTATGATCAAGAGCCTCATTTACACAAACGATCGGTAGGTGTCCTTTTTCAATGCGTGAAGATTTTCCGCGATTCGACGATTGATGGCATCTTAACAAGAGCGAAATTCATAAATATTTGATCTTAAGATTTCCCGAGATAGCATTCAAAACAAATGTTTTGCTGTCTCTAATATATTTTTATATTTATATTTCAGTGTTAATAAATTTAAATAATTTTTCATTAACTATTAATTAACATAAGGATGTCATTTTATATTTGAAAAGCAATATTCAATTTATTTTTGTATACATTTATCAATTATACACTTCAATATTTTTTCATAAATATATTTATTTTTTTCATCAACATCTTATAAGTTTTACAAAACTAATAGAATTAAAATTTGAAGAAGATATCAAAAAATTCAAGAAATCACATTTTTAAAAAAATTTTTTTAACATTATTTTTTAAAAATATAAATTGATTTTAAAGCGTTTTTTAAAATTGCTTTGCTATCTTGTAAAAAGATTAATATATTTAAAAAAAAATTTTGACAAAAATTTTTATTCTAAATTTATTATGAAATTTGAATTATTCTATAGATGATTGACGTTATTTTTTAAATCTTTTTTTGCACGTTTTGTAGTCATCACAATTTATTAAAAAGTTAAATCGGATTTAACAAATTATGCACAATCCGCTCTTGCTCTGTATCCTTCAATTGTCATTCTTATTTTTCTAACTCGGACACTGAACAATATTGCAATTATAGTCTTGGTAATTAGAATCCGCGTTAATTAAATTATTTAAAGTTAGCAACGAATAACTATTAGATTCGATATACTTTATTCTTTACTAATTAGCGCTCTTATCTTTCTATTTAGCATGCGCATTATTTAAGAAAAGTCACTGAAATTAAATTTTCAATATTTTTCAAATATCAATAAATTTTTCTGCTTGTGGGTGCAAGAGATCTTATCTCGCGAGATGGAATTTGGATGGGGATTAAGACATAGAGAAAGACGAGCCTTGGCGATAATTCGTCAAGATTTATTCAACAAAGGAACGCATTCTTGGAAAACTTTTATAAAAGCAATTTTTAACTAATTGTAAAACTGTACATATAATTTATTTCTCAGAAGCGGTGCTTTAATTCCAAAAATTCTAACAGCCAATAATTTCTTTGTTTTTCATAATTGTTTAATAATAAACGCGAATAATAAACGATTGGATATGTTTCTACAATAATTAAAAAATTAAGTACGTACGTTATACTTTCCGGTATATGTTTTCTTCTTTTCTCTCTTCAATAAGACATATATATATATGTATATACTTCTATGTCTCAAACAATTTGTAATCTATTGCGCTAAACACAAGCAATTAAAAAAAAAAGATGCGAGCAAACGCAACACTTTTCGATTACTCGCGAAGAAATCGAGATGAAGAAAGAAAAAAAAAATTTAAAAGAATAATTGTGTGATAAATCGATCTCAATTGTTTTCAGTCTTTCGCAGTAGAGAATAAATCTGGATTTTTTTCTCGCGGGCACTGATACATAAAACTTTCATTTACGCCTATTTACAGAAGAGTTAAGAATGATTTTTTGCGAAAATCGCAATCTTAAGACTTGTGAAATTGACAATTAGGCGAAGTTTTTTTTTCTTTCTCATCGCGCTTATGAGAGGAAATTAATTTTATAATCGAGCTGTGATGAAGCACGGAATGCAATTTTGCATTTTCTTGTATCTTTATCCCTTCATCTTCTCAAATGATGTCGATCATCCAAAAAATGATGACGCACTGAAAAGCACACGTTGTTTGACGAGGCGGACAGATTACAAGGTCAATACCAAGAGAGTCCTTGGAAACTGTCCGCATTTTTTTTTGTTCTTCTAAGTTAGCACACGCACACACTTGTCGACAGTCTCGATCTCAGTAGAAGAAGAATCTTCCGTTTTCTTGGCACTGACACACGTGTTCTCGAACTATCTTCTAAGACACTCTACTCGAATCAGTCGTACAATTAAAACCGGAAGAAGCTTCAAGCATCTTTCTCGATATCGAAGACACCAATTTTCCTCACTTATCAAACAGAGCGATGATCATCCCTCCATTCCATTCTACTTTAACGATTATTCGAGAACAGTTTCTCTCTATGTTTCTGATAACTTAAACTTAATAACAGGAACCAATTCTTGGCCGCTTTAACGCGCTGCCGGCTAGAGTTTAGTCTCGCGTGGAAGATCAGGTAGACTGTTGCTAGATGCTAGAAGTCCCAGGGCTTCCGGAATCTCTTTCCGCAGATCTTTGGCCAAAATGTCGGCGTTATTGGGGCCTCTAAAAATTGGCTTGTTGCTGTTTTCGTAATGGTTGCACACGGATAACATACTGTCGTACTCATCGATACATTGCAGTATCGACGAAGTAGGTAACATCGAGGCGAGTCCTGGAGGCGGCGCTGGCGGACCGCTCTCCTCGATGTAGTTGATGTGAATGCCATCCATCACGTTTTGATTGTGTGGACTGGCCGACGATAGCTCGGTCGGCGTGTAATATTCGCTATTAACATCCTCCAGACTCGGCCCTGCCGTTAGATCATCAATCTTCGCTTTGAAATACGTATCCATGCCGTTGAGGTCATCTCTGTTAGGATCGAACATCATGGAATCGCTTTTGCCGCACGAGCCACTCCGGCAATTGTCAAAGTACAGATTCGGCAGGTTTTCCAACACTTTCGCCAGCGTCTGCTGCTGGTACTTGTAGCTCTCTCGCAATCGCAATACCTGGTGAGCGCTGAACTTGCGGATTTTGTTCCGTTGGAAGACGTAATTCTCGCGCACCCAGTTTAGCTGGCTGGTGGAGTAATCCCTTACTCTCTTTACCTGCGAAAAAGTAAAAAAATAGACGCGATTAATATCTATTATATATATCAATATGATATCTCGCGTTATCTTGTTCTTATCACGATGATTAATTCGCGCTCGTGACTTGGAACTCCATCGTGTTTTCTCGGTAGAGAATTGTTTAGCCAACATCGAGAAGCAAATCAAACCGATATAACAAGCTTCGTATAAAGTATTTTGTTATGTTGCAACGTGATCACGTAGATCAGATAGAATGCGAGTACAATAACAAAAAAAAGATAAAATTGTAATTGCGAAGAATATAACTCTGTCATCAAAGATAATGACATAAAATATCGTACCTGATCATAATACTGATCTCTCAGCGCGGTTAGGTGACTGGTACCGTAATCCCGTATATCGCGTATATGTTGCATTTGACCTTCGTAGCTGTCGCGAATCCATTCCACTTGCTGAACGCAGTTGTCCTTAATTCTGTGCACCTGCTGCGTGTAGTTCTCTCTCAGTCTTTCGAGTTGCTGACTCTTGTACTGTTCGATGTTGTCGAGCATCTGGTAGATCTGCTTAGCCCGTGGCGTCACCCCTACACGTCTACAGCACAAGCACCACTTGGTGCATCCACACCTGCGAGAGATAGGGAAAAAAGTTAATGAGCGAGTGTGAAAGAAATATAGAAAGTCGTTGGAATTGTTAGAGGTGAAATTATCGATCCCGCCTGACCTTCCTGTGAACTGTTTGCTCTATTCAAGTTGACGCTCTCGACGAATAGTTACTGCCACCCGAGTAAACTGTCAACGATTCTACCGATCGAGAACACTGACAATTTTATAATGTCGCAAGATACGATATATAAAAAGAATACGATGTATATGTCTAATATATACTTTACATATTGCTATTGATACTCACTTCGAGAATAAGTACCGCAAGAGTTGCACCAGCAGGGTGAGCAGAAGAAAGGCCACAGTACTGATCGCACCGACGAGGATGCTGTAGATCTTGATATTGTGCAAGGTTACCGGATCCATGTGCAACGTCACGTAGATAGTTTCATTTGCAATCGGATTCACCGCCACGCATTTGTACTTGCCTACGTCTTGCCGTAACAACATCGAGATGTAGAGAGAACCATTCTCCAAAACACGTATGCGACCGTCGTCGACGACCGGCTGGTCTGACAACCAGCTATGTACGGGCGGATGCTCGACGAAGGCGTCGGGAAAGGTTGGGTCCGGCATCCAATGGAAAACCAAGCCGCTCGGAGTGACCCAGGTCAAAGAGGGTGCGGGATTACCGTTGAATTCGCATTCCAACAACACTGAACTCAGAAGAAGATACTGTTGGGTATTGGTAGTTCGCGCCAAGATCGGCGGACTACACTTGAGGTAACGCAACGTGTGCAGGCTGTCTTCGGTATTTACAGTGCCGCTTACTTCGTGACCGCATTTAAGTCCACTCTGGAAAACCGCTCGCAGATGCGCTCTACTCTCCGCCCACTTGACAAACCAGAACATACGACAGTCGCAAGCCCACGGGTTGCCCTGTAACTGCAGCTCATTTAGTAGCGGCAGATTAGCTACGTTCGCCGGTAGGAAGGTCAGATCATTATTCCGCAAGTCGAGTCTACGCAGAGATGGAGTCTCGTTTAGAGTCAATTGACCGATTTCGCGTAATGGACTATTCCTGATTTCCAGAGTCTCCAACTCGATTAAACCCGCTAGATTCTCATTTCGAAGGTTCTCGAGTTTGGTCCCGGATAGCAAGAGAGTCCTTAATCTGCTAACAGGTCGCCAGATCTCTGCTGGCAGCGATAAGATCTCCAGATGATTCAAGCTGAGCCATCGTAGATTGACGAGGCCTTGAAACGCGATGTTTGTGAGACGTACGATTGGATTATTCTCGAGGTCGAGGTGTTCCAAGGTCGTGAGGTCGCTGAAGAGGCCACGCGGCAGCATCTCGATCGCGTTGTTAGCAAGATCGAGCACTTTTAATCGAGTCAAGCCGGAGAATAATTTAGACGGTAGCTTGGTCAATCGGTTACTGGCTAATCGTAGCTCCTGCAGTTGTTCATTCGTGAAACTGTGATCTGGCAGCGAGACCAATAGGTTACTACTGAGATCAAGTCGTACGAGCTTCTTCGCGGGCGCGAATGCCTGATAAGGTAGTACGGAGAGCAGATTCGCCGCTAGACGAATCTCCTGGAGATTATCCAGGCCTTTAAACAACAGCTGCGGCAGCGAGGTCAACCGGTTCCCGGTGAGATTCAGGTACTTAAGTTGATGCAACAGATGGAAGACGTCCGATGGCAGCTCGGACAGCCGATTATCACCTAGATCGAGTCGCTCGAGAAGCGTGGTGGTGCGAAACACACCAGATTCTATGCTTTCGATGCCACTTGACGTCCAGACCAAACTTTGTAATCCGATGGATGCCTCCAAAGCGGACACTGGAATCGCGGCTGCTCGAACATTCTTCAGCATCACGTTCGTAACGTTTCGGGATAAACCGAGACCGAGAAAACTGCGCTCCGTGCACACTAGGCTGGCGCCGTAACTGCTGTCCGTGCATTCGCAACCACCGGGACATTTTCGCGAAGACGTGGCTGCCGACGATGGCGACGACGTGATCGTGACTGATGACAGTATGTCCGAGGGTGTACCCGCGACCCGCACCACTGCTATCACTGCGACCAGAAAGATCAACCACCTCGAGCGCAGACCACTGCTTTCTCTCGTCACCCGCTTCCGCATTCCTAAGACCTGCAATGTGACGATTTTCACGGATACAGTGATTTTCCATGTCCCTGCCTAAGAGGCTTCCTCGCGTGAACCTTCTCTTCGAGAGCGAGTCTTCTATATATAATTGTGGACAGACTCTAGACTATATCTACTAATCAAAAAACTAATCAAAAAACAAGACTTTATTTAGAACTCACGATTGGATTCTACTTCGCTTATCTTTTTTTTTCCTCATCCGCTCAACATCGATTACTCGACCACGTGTTCAACATCTATAGCATACCCTTAAAAGCCCCCCCCCCCTCTCCCCTTGAGACATTTTAAATCTTCTGTTTCTTTTTTCGTTCTACTATCTACCTACCAAGAATCACGGTCGTGTTCCCTGCAGGCTACCCCGATTATTTCCAAGGACAAAGCAAGATGGATAGTAATACAAAGAGAGCTCTTGGAGCCTAATCGTTCGCGAGAAATCCGACGGTACCCTGTTTCACGACGACGGGTGTGTCGAGGAGTCTCCTGACGTGGCCGACGACGATGATACCGATGTTCTCAGTGAGTGATGACTCGAGGATGACGATATAAATGGAGTGCCGTCGTCCCTCGATTTCGCCGTCGTGTAGCGCCGGTAACATAATTGCGCTCACCTGTACCGTACCATATCGGCACACCGGGATCAGGGGCACCGAAGATTCGCAGGGGAAAAAGAAGACCAGTCCATCAACGTGAAAACCGATAGAAAACCCCGGTGATCTCACGCACGAAGGAAGGATCTACACGCGAGAACGATTTATTATTTTCCTTCGTCTCTTATTCCCTACCCCTTCTCCTTTTTCTCCTTCTTCCCTGTCACGTCTTCTCGTGTCTCCTTCTATCCGTCTCGAGAGAACCGTCCCCGTTTGTGTTCGGCGTCGTGTGCAGCAACGCTGCAGCGCGCACCACTTGTCACGCGTGTCACATGACACGTTCGTGCATATCGCGCTCCGGCTGCATCCGCTCGTCGCGCGTCAGATGCAAAAAGCGACTGTGGAAACCGGAGCTCCGGCCTCCGGCCGTGGGGCTCTACCGAAGCAGCGGACTCTCCTCCTCGTGGCAACCGGCGGTTCAAAGCGAACCGGCAACGTCGCCGACTCCCCAGTCAGTCGGCGCCGACGCAGACCTCGTCGGCATCTCTCTGTGAAACGAGTAGGGTGGAACGAGCGAGAGCAGAGGAAGAGAGAGAGAGAGAGAGAGAGAAAGAGGGAGGGAGCAGCGGCGAAGCAAGGACAAAGAGAGGGTTTGGATATAGACGGCAGCCCCGCTCAGCAACGACCCTGTCGAATATGTCCTGGAGCGAGATGGGATTTTAGGATTCTTCGCGGACCATTTTATCGTTGCGAATCCAGCGAAATGCGCGTCATTGGCACGGCGACCCGAGTTTATTTCAACATTCGCTCCGGCATGTCTGATCAATTTTTGAATATCTTCTAGAGGAAGGTATTTCCGGAGGCGGGTCGGATATCTTGGCCGTAAGCTCTCGTCTTCGAACTATATCGCGATTAAAGGTCCGAAATAGGTTCCTCGGGGTCTTCCTCGGTGCCAAATTAGCTGTTAAATGGTTTCACGTCGTTTCATCCTTTGTAACCAAATTATCGCGTAGATATAATCGAAGAATTATCTTCTCGATAATGCGTTTTAGTTGATCACGCCCCTCGATTAACCATGTTCGAGCATTCTCGAATATTCCCAGATTTATATAAGAGAGAGAAGAGTAAAGCTAATGAATCTATACTCATACCTCACGGTCAAAGTTAAATAAATCTGGCAGCTTTAAACATAAAACTGGTTAAACATATACATTCACGGCCAAGGCTAAACAAATCCCGATATGTTTAGTAAAACGTATGTTGATGAGTAAACCAACTCGAAATGTATAGAATCAACAAGAATTTCTTTTTCTTCTAGCATTATAAATCGAGCCTTAATAAAAATAGAATTGGGAAATCACGAATATAACTTGAAAATTTGGGACAAAGAGAAAGAAAGAATTTTATTCTCGCCTGAATCATGAATAAGTATCTCGTAGTATAAAGAGACATATATAGCACCATAAATAGAACTTCTAGAAGTCATCCACATTTTCACACGGAACAAAGTTCTACAATATAGAATCGAGAAAGATATCGTTTCTCGCATTATAAATAGCGTTATCGATTAAAAATAGCTTTACATTCAGTAGCTATATTTTGACATATGAACGTTTTTAACTTTGCTCGATTAATTTTTGTTTTTATTTATTTATTTTTTTTTTCCAAAAATAGGCAGTAGTTGTTATCATGGCTTCGTTCGGAGATAAATGTTGAAAGAAATTTTTTCCCAACTGTTAGCTGTGCTAACAGATCAGGCATCTTCGTGTCTGCGGTAGAACAGGGTCTTAAACTTTGATTCCCGCTAATGGAACCGGTCGTGTTAGATGATAGAATTTCACGAACACCCGAGTCGGAGGATACTCCCACGCTCGCTTTAATCAAATCTATTTCGCCACGGTGCCTCGATGTCTAGCTATCGCGGAAACCTTTCTAAGAACCGCAATCATTTCTCGAATCAATCATGCGGTAAAAGACTCGTAATGATTAAATGCGATTGCGTTGAAATTAAAATCAATATTACATAGTAGAGCCGTATTAATCACACTTGTAGAATTACTTGGAGATGCTATTCATTACAGCTTAAAATGTAGATAAAAAAATTATATGCCAAATACATAATTAACATTTCTAATTAATACATAACGCTTACTAAAAATTGTTTTGCCGTTTTACATTAGAAGTGATGATACAGCGAAATGTTACTTAATGTCAAATGTTTGATTCTGCATATTATGAACGTATAAACAGAGTTCGTCATTAGCAAAAATAATATATCTTAGTATAAATTATAAATGCTAAATATGTGCAAAGCACGACGTCTTGTTGTACTTTGCCTTATCGAATGCACAGACTATGAACGTTGTAATATAATCTCTGCTTGTAATGTGACGCAAGCAAGAAATGAAACATGTTTTCACTTTTACTTTAGCGTCGAGCTCTGGCTATGTCTTTCTCTGCTGAATTTGTTCATTTTATTTTAAATCGTGTTTTATATTTCTCATACTATGTTTTATACTGCTACGTCATATATCTATATATCTTGTATATTTACTATTTTATTTTATACTGTATTGCAGAGGAAAAAACATGAGTAGTCTATAAATAGATTCTTCGATTGCATCGTGAAAGCGTTTTGTCTATAACATATCACGCAAGCAAATTGTTTTTTCTGGACACCTTGTATAGTCGTTAATACCCGTTCGCTGTCGCGTTTCGTTGATTTCTGTGTCGAATGAAAAGGGTAAATCGTGCCGTATTCGAACGATGTATAAGGGATGGAGGCGGGTTTGTCCCGCAGGTCTCTACCGTGCAATATTGATCCATGACCTAACTTTGTTCTTCACTTTTGCCAGCAACACACGGAGTCATTTAGAGTCGAAACGGAAACATCGCTCAACACTCCCAAGCTTAGACGAAGGTTTCGGGTTACCCTAAATCCGGAGTCGATTTAGAAAAGCTCTTCCGGATCGGAGTCGATATTAAGTTTTCATCAAAAATGCAGAACACCTCTGTATATAAAAAAATACTACGTGTATTAAAAAAAAATTCTCGATTCTTTTTATTCGAACAATTCTGATAGAAATTTTTATTGCTGCAAAAAAAAACCGCTTTTTTTCATCGAAGCGATTGCAAGTTTTATTTATTCCGCGACAATAGCGGGTAATTACATAACACGTCGCTTATTTGCAAACAATCGATTTAGTGGTGGAGGTCGAATGCGGATGCACGCTTCGTTTTGCAAATCGTAAGAGTCCGTTAATTAAACGCGCAATAAAGTGGGGCGCGAGGAAAATAATTCCGCGGCCAAATCAATGAGATAAACACGATGCTTACGTTGCTTATTGCGCGAATCAGGAACAGCCATTTGTTAATAAACATTCGCCCGAGAGTCGTTATCTTTCGTGTCAGACACGCCTCGCGAATATATTCGCATATATTTGCCCTATCTACGGGTTAATAGATTCATCTTCTCTCTTATTGGACATATAACGAAGGTCAATAATCCGATAAAACTATTTATATTGAAGAATTTACGCGATTAGAGCACGCGTTATTGGAACGTCAATCGCGTTTACGCAAATCGCAGGGGGCGGAATGCGTCAAGCTTCGCTTTTTTTTTTTTTTTTTTTTTATAGAGCTTGTAATAAATACTAACTTAAATTCAATTTTTGCAGTTTAATTATATATAGATATATAAAAATTGATGAGAGATTCAAAATTATTTTATTTCATTACTCTCTACAATTTGTTTTTATTATATTTAATTTTATTAATAAAATATTCGATAAATTTTATTTTATTTGAACAAATATATTCGATTAAATTAATATTTTCTAATTTGAGCTTAATAGATGAGGTTTATTATGTTTCTTTTCGAATTTTCCTGTAAAATATGACGCTAACAAACGCGTTTTTTTTTATTACCAGTATTATAGAACAGAAATTTTCTACATCAATGTTGTAGCTTACATAATAATTTGCATGACGATATCGCATGCATTTCGAAAGTGTTATACATTTGCTCGTGACACAAGCTATCGACTCATATCATTTGCGGAAGACATTACTTCAGCTATTTAGCTGTTCAAAATGGTTTAGTCATTGTGCAACAATTGCGATTATACACTTTACCTTTGTTCGTATCAATATCAATACATTCTTTAGAGATCCGAGTCATTAATTTTGATGATTTTTAAGATGTAAAAATTATTCTCAGATGCAATCGTTTACGATTAAAAAGAGCACCTGCGCAATGTTATTTATTCATGTCGCTAATCGTTAAATTTCTCATTATTATGGTAACGTCAAAGAAATTTGATAAATGCGCGTTATCAGCCTCAAGACTTGGTATATATTAATCTTGCTTTGCATTCAAGGTCGATGTTGTTTGCAATA